TTCTCTTTTTATAAACAGCAGCGCCGTGTGTGTGCTTTTTCTTTGTTTTATGCTGGAAACCCGATACGGTCGCGGTTCGTCTGCAACGGTCGCGTTTGATCAGCTAAACGACAAAGAGAAAACTCGTTGCGTAACGGTTTTGTCGTACGAAAGACGTCGATAAAGTAAGAGACGTCGTTCGATATGAAGAATTATTCGATACAGACGCCTTTGTTTATTTTCGCGCTTCCTTGCACCAATATATCGGTAACGTTAGAAAAACGTTTACGTTTCACGGTGGGTAGGAGAACACGTGCGCAATATTTCGTTCTCTTGAAAACTATCGACAAAAATCATTATGTAAAGCATAAGGAAGTTGGAAAAGACGCCTGTTGGCAATTTTTAATTCTTTGCGGCATCTCTTTTTTGCCGCGTTTTCTTTTTTTGCCCTGTATTTTTTAATTAGAAAAATGATTTTTAACGCCTATCTCGTAAGTTTTGCCGGGCGTTAGCAAGGCGTTAAGAAAGTATTTTGGCCACCCACTTTTTGCTGCCGAACGTGATTAAAGTCTTTGCCGCTTTTTGTCAGTTTTTCCATATTTTCAAACGATAAGAAAAACAATTTAGTTGTTGTAGTAGGAACGATTGTCTGTCATCTCGCGTAATGCATATTTGGCCTTATCACTCCTTTTTTTATTTTCAAACAAAACGCATGGCCAATTTTTACATTCTTGGTCCTAATTACTATGTCACTCGTATAATTAGCGAACGGGTCTTCTGTTGATCGAAAAAAGACGGCTCTTTTTAGATTTACAAATGCTAAATTATAAAGTGTAACGTACATAGAAAACAACGGGTTTTTGCACTCTAATAATTCTTACGTGCACTAGCGTCGTACACGTTTATCGACGTATTTTCTATAATGTCCTAAAAGAAATGCAGCAATATGGGCGGAGTCTCGCCAATCGCACCCGCCTATTGGCTGAGAGCGGCTTTTTTGGCGCCACTTACGCCGCTCTTTCTTTGACTGTTCTCTCCGCATTAGTTGTATTGAGAAGAGAGATGTTCGGTCATCAGGATTCGAGTGCCTATTACGCGCCAACGGAGATGTTCTGGGATCAACGAATAGGACATAGCTGGCGGCAGGGTGAGCTTGTCTGGGTTTCTTTTATTTTTTCGCAAAAAACGATTTTTGCTGCTTCTATAATATTTTTTTAACAAAAAGTTGGGTCAAAAAAAATTAGGTTAGCTTTATCGTTTTCTTTAAAGCCTCTGAAATTTCACTTTTTAAAATTAGTAGCGCAAAACGAACCGGGCGGATGACGGTTATTCAAAAATTGAATAAGTCTATTGATAGTGGTGAATGTAAATGAATTATTTCCTATACAAAAAAAGACATTAAACTTCTTAGTAGGAACACAAGAGATTTTTTCCTTCGTAACGAATAAATTTGTGTGTGTCTTTTAAGACGAAAGATTCGGGTATACATTTCTATTTAGGTGAAAGAGAAAAAAAAGTGAAAAATAAATAAAAAAACACCAAGATAAAAAATTGAAATAAAAAGAGAAGAATTAAAACTGTTCGAGTTAACGACATATGTAAATATAACAAAGTAGAACGGCGGAAGAAGGAAGGGGGAATATCGAAGGAATTAGGCGTTTAGATTTGAATATTTTAGAGGTTACATCTCTTCCGACCACGTTATATATTTACTATATTTATTACGTTTGTATATGTCTGTGTGTATGAGGGTTTAAAAGCGTCCTACGTAGTTTTTTTATGAATTAATTTCAAAAGAACGAAAGAGGCGGCAGGTGACGTTCAACGAAATACTTAACTATTCAAATAACGTACAATAATTTTTTCGATGCGACCAAGTTTATTTCCTCTCTAATTATTTACTCTAACGCGAATTTTTCTAGGCCTAAGTATTGCCACCCTTTATACGTAGTGAATTGCGTGCGAGCTAGCTCTTTCCTTTTCAACGCACGTAATAGGCCTGCTTGGAAATATGCTTGAACCAAGCACGCGCTTAACACGCTCTTTCCTTTTATATCTAATGTATAGACCAGAAAGACAAGTGGGTTGTTGAAAGCAACCTTAAAGAAAGCCATGTCTCATTTCCGTTTCATTTCTTTATATTTCTAGAATATAATTTCTACCAATTTCAATACTTAACTGTACACTTTGTCAAAGTTTTGATAGAAAAAAAAAATAAAGAAGGCAGCGAGTGAAGAGGTAGATGTGTTAGCTTGTTGTATATTACCATAATAAATAGGCCTAAAAGGCAAGGTTCCTAGTTGAACACTATTGTAAAATGAAAAAAGGGTTTAAGGAAAGGAGGTATAGAATTAAAGAAAAAAAAATATTTGAAAGAGGAGAAAGCACGCGTCGAGCACGCGATTTTCTTCATACCTTCGAATTGACCCTGAAAGTATATTTTTTAATATAAATCTCTCCCCAACGTGTGTGATCCTCTTTGATTATTATATTCTCTCATATGAAATTCTTTCGTCGTCTCGTCTTATTGTTGTTAGGTCGGGATCGGGCCGTTTCATTGATTTATATATCCAATAAACGCGCCTCATGAGATATTTTAAAATGATCTACTACATAAACCACCGCCTCCGTTGCATTGGTTTTTATTCTTTATGCTTTTTTTTTTTTTCATTCTAATTTTTGGTTGGTTCCATCTCCTTCCGCCTTTCCGAAACACATAAAAGAATCTATACAAGTTCTTTTCGGCAATAATTTAGATTAGAAAGATACGGTAGAAGAGAATTAAGTCGATCGGAAAAAAGAGGTCGAACGTTATGGCGCATACGATAAGAACTTTTTCTATGGCTAAAAATTTTTTTTGTCTATATGCAGTATATAATTTAATATATATGGAATGTTGAAAAAAGCGAAAATGGAATTTTTGTATAAAAATCTAGTTAACCTTTCATACAGTATATCCTCTGACACACATACTCTCTACTTTCCTCCCTCCCTCCCCTCCCCTCTCTCCCCTCTCTCCAACTTTGCGAATTTTTGGCGTTATTCCTGGTTTCCCAGTTAATATCGAAAGCGAACGTATCAAAAAGAGAACGAAAAAAAAATAGCACACGAGACAAGGTCCATTTGGACGCATTCAATATTATTTACGTGCCGTTTGCCATCTTTTATTACAAAACATTATGAGACCTTAACCGCTTTTCTATTAACTTTATATTATTTTTATGATTTTGGCGATAAATCGTGAAAAATGCGGGTCATATATTGAAATGTGTGCGGAATTAATATTTTGCCCTTTTAATCTTCTCCATCTTAAAAGTTATATATGTATAGTATGTAAATAGAATAAGGTAGAGGGTTTTATCATTTTTCAATGGATGATCAAGTGCCCGGTAATATATTCGGCAAATAAATATTGACCTCGGCCAGTCGCAATAATTTCGGATTGTTGGAATTATGCGTAGACACGAATTTTTTTAGTTTACGTTTAGAGAATTTCAAGATAAAAATGCGGAATTTAATAAAAGCTAAATGATTATATTAGAATGAATTATAAGAGGAGTACAAGGGAGTTTGAGAGACTGGCAGATTGGAATAGGGAACTAGGTGATGGAAACATAGAAAAGAGAGCAAAATTAAGAGGAAGCAGACGTCTGAGCAGATTGTGGAAAGGGTTCTTTATAAAAATTCTCCTTGTTAGAGTGTCTGTCTATGTGCTATTTATTTATTAATCTGTTCAGGGTTAGTGTTGCGGCATTTTCTGGAAAATAACCGGATGAGATAGTGTTGTTTAACTTTTTTAACATTAGGAATGTTGACGCGTCCTTCAGCATTCGTGTTCGTCCTTAATCGGATTATAAAAGATTAAGCAACTATGAAAATTTCTTCAATTCTTCTTCATTTTTTACAGATCATCTACTTCGAGCGGCCGCCGGAAGTATGACGGAACGCGGTGGCGAATTGGGAACGTATCATCCTCTTTGGACGTCCGACGGTGCTATAGCGCAGGTAACATTTTTACGCTTGCGCGATTCAGAAAAGCTGAGTGGCGTACATCTGCCGCGATTTTTTTACCTTAAACTTCGCGTATCCGATTGCCCAGACGAATGTTTGAATGCGTTACCCGAATGAACTAAATAGAACAACCAATAGGAAAAATTTTAAAAGAACAACTTGACCACACGTGGTCAACCACGCCCCTCCTACTTGACCCGTCCACAATTTAACCACGCCTACTGACCACGCGACTCGGACCGGTCCACGGCACGCGCCACTGTTTCCCCTCGTTTAACCCCGATTTCGAGGTGGCGCTGTTGTTTAACGTTGTGTGTTTGTCGCGTACCCATTGTTGTTTTGCATTTTTACATGGAACGCGGAATGTACCAGTACGACTATTGGGTGAGTGGATTTTTTTTCAGGTGTATACGCTGTTCAAAGCGAGCGAACGCGCGCGCGCGCGCTCTTTTCCTTGGAGCTTTTTTTCTCAACGCCCTGAATATTCACGCACCATCTGACAAGAAACGACGCGGAATTTAGAACGCGACCCGATTTTTTTTTTTTTAAGTAGAGATGGTGATAGACGGAACGAGTTTTGCACGTGTTGCAGTCTAGTTAAAAAAGCATCTTTTCGGAAATTTTACCATAGCCTTTTCCATTTTATATTGCCTCGTCCTTCACCGCCCCCATCCCTTTCTTATCTTCATTATTGGGACAATATACCGTCTCTCTATATCGTATTGTTGGCATTTTTTATTTATATAAACAGTATTGACGAAAGAAGATAATTTTAATATGCTCTTAAAGTCCCTTTTCCCGTCGCTCACCCTCTCATACTTATTTATACAGTAGTTAATATATAAATAGGCAAATAAATATAAAGCAGATAGAGCAGCTCGACAAGTCGGCCTTACAGTAAAAAGAAAAAAAAAGGATAAACAAACAAAATAATAAACTTAATTGAGTAAATATGAAGAGAAAAACCGTATAAATCGTTATAACTACTTATAGAACGCGGCTATATTACAGTAATCGAGTATATTTGACTCAAAACCTATTCGCTGTAAATATAAATTACGTTAAAAGTAAAAAGAAGAAAAAAACGACGAAGCACTAAAAAAAACGAGAAGTAAAAAAAGAAGACAAGAAAAAAGACTATAATTTTGTATGGATTAAATAAGAGATATTTAAGAATTTCTTCCTATGCAATTTAGGATAGATAATTTCATATCGTATCTCTTGCATAGCTATGCGCGCGTTATTATACAGTATATAGTCTAAAATGTATATATAGATATAAGCATGTATAGGTAGAAAAGAAAAGCATAACATGTATACACCCATCTGGTGCGAGTATGATTTATTCTTTATGCCGTCAGCTTTTATGTTAAATGTATGATTTATGTAGAAAGAGCACATATAGAAAAAGGAGAAAAAATCAATTCATAAAGGAAGGTTTAAAGTGTAAAATATAATTTTTCGCCTGATCGAAGTTTGCGCGCGTGTCGGGGCCAGGAGAATATCGGAAGTGGAGAAGAATTCGATTCCGATGAATTGAACGAGCGCAGGCATGCACGACGCCGTCGCCGCCCTGAGCCACATACCGCGAGCGTTCGGAATGTTGCGTTAGATTATTGTATGTCAAATTTTTTCTATGTATGGGAAATATATGTACGCAAAGGTCGAGTTTGACGGTTTTCAGATTTTTTAAGTGAGTGTGTGAGTGAGAGAGAAAGAACGAACGAATGAACGAAAGAAAGAAAGACAGACATTGCGAGAGAGATGTTTAACAGGAGGGGAAGGTGAGGGCGAGAGAAAGAAAGGGAATGAAATTTTTCATTTTCAAACCAAAAGAGGAAATGGTCAAAGAAATTAAACGTACAATTTATACACTTAACTTGTTTTGTTAGGTCAACGACGCCAACATATGCAATCCGGTAGCAACAATGGGCGGCGGTCAAGCTACCAACAGTCACTACCCCCCACCAAAGGTGTCTGCCCTCTTCGACTCTACTTGCCCCCCATGCCCACCGCCGCCACATCCATCCGTCATGTCGCAGCCAGGCTTAGTTGTACCGCAGCCGTTGAAACCGTCCAGATCGGCCAAGACCTATCATTGCCGGATGTGCGAACAGGTTTTCGACTGCAAATCGGACCTGCTCGTTCATAGCCAACAAGTGCATAAGCAGGACCCAAAGCCTTACAAGTGCCCAACCTGCAACAAGTGCTTCGCCAATTCATCTTATCTAAGTCAGCACGCACGCATCCATTCCGGAATCAAGCCGTATCGTTGCAATGTAAGTATATTTTTAATTGCTGTTTTGCACTGATTTTTGCGGGACAATAAAAAATCGCATAGTCGTCAATAATTGATAAACCAACTTTTTCAACTTATTGACGCGAGCTTAATTGCTCATTATAAAGAACGTTCGGGCGATGAATAATAGAGAAGGATGAAATCTGACCTACTTATAGCTTTTTTTTTTTTTTTTTTTTTCACATTTTACAGATTTGCGACAGACGATTTACACAACTTTGCCACCTGCAACAGCACATGCGTACTCACACAGGAGAGAAACCTTATAAATGTTCTCATCCTAGCTGTGGAAAGGCCTTTACGCAGCTAAGCAGCTTACAATCCCATAGTCGGTCGCATATGACCGACAAACCATACAGATGCAACAGCTGTTATAAATGCTTCAGCGACGAACAGGCGTTAAGGGATCACATACCGAAGCATTCAGAGACGAAACACTTAAAGACGCACATTTGTCACGTTTGCGGAAAGAGCTACACGCAAGAGACTTATCTGGCTAGACATATGCAAAAGCACGCCTATGACCGCAATTGTCCTATTCAACCAGGCCAACAGCAAACGCCAACCGTAACGCAGCATCATCATCCTGCCACGTCTATTTTCGACCTTGCTCCACCAGGCCCACATACGTTGGCACCGATAACTTCTCTTACGCAATCGCATCAAGATGACATAAAATGTTCTGCCTTCCTTCCCATTTCCTCCTTTGCCTCCCTGGCTCCACCACCACCTCCGCCGCCTCTTCCGTCGCAGTATAACGGACTGCAATCGAGTGAATTTTCAACATCAACACCGGCAACAAGTTCAACTTCCTCTAACAGACGCCCAGACAACTCGGCAGTGACATCGTCACCGTTTCTTAGTCTGCAACAGATAAAGTCGTACTCGAATCAGAACTCTTTTTTTCCATCCGTATCCACTTCAAGTAGTCCAAAGGACCATCAGCAGCCTTACGTTTAATTTATGCAATTTAGCTATCACGTGACTGCTGTTCTAATTCTGGACGCTGTAGACGTTTGAAAAGAAAAGAAAAGCAAAGGTGTTTTGAAAAAAAAATTTATGTAAAACAAAAAATAGTCTTAGTAAAAATTTATTTTTTTTTCCTTGTTTCTTTTTTTTTTCTCTATTTTTTTTATAATTATCATTATTATCATAATTATTAATATTATTATTATTCTGCTCTGTTTAAGGTTTATATGGTAAAAAAAAAGAAAAAGAATGAAAATTATTTGTTTGTACGTGAAAAAAGTTTTTTTTTGTATCTATACCAGCTCCTTAATAATGTATGTATAGCTTATTTATTCAGATCTTTATATATACATATATATTGGTTCTATTGGTTTTTTTTTTTCCTTTTTTTTTCTCTTTTTCTCCTTTTTTTGAAGATTACGTGTATGCGTATGTATAGACATTTACGGATATGCAAACGTATGTATGTAGGTACACACTTTTCTGTTTATCGGGATCATACGTAAATATATGTAAATATATTAGTGTATCTATATGTATATATAGATATATATATATATATGTTTATACGAATGCGAATGGATATATACATATGTACAAAGTTATATACGTATCTATCCAATCAAAACATCTATGTGTAAATTTATAAATGACTGTGTATATGTATACGCTGAAATATTTCTCTTTATTTTTCATTTTTGTTATTTGGTGCTATGTTCGCGGAAATTTTACGCATTAAAGACTTATTTATTACAAAAGACGAATTAGGTGGAGTTTTTTTGTTTTTTTTTCTTCTTCTCTCTCTTTTCAAAAGTTGATTTTCAAAACACCGTTTGTCTTATTAAGAATGCCTATTATACATATACAATGTATACGTTTTGCCCGGTGATATTTTTTGCCATATTCGCGTGAAAGTGTCTGTATACATTATATAAAAAATTTTTTCGTCTTTTATTGTTCTACATGCAGCTAGTATTTATATTTGCGTGTACAAAAAATTTCGACGATAGTAGGTTTCGTTATTTGTTCACTTTCTATACATACTTTGCATATAAGTGTAAATGACTTTTGTGTAAGTGACGGCTGCTATGTCGGCGACATTTCTTAACAAGTAAGCGCCCTCTACTAAACATTTATAATTATTACTATAACTAAATATAATATATGTATACATATATGTATATATATATATGTATATATACTGTATTTGTATGTATATACCTACGTACATGTATAATTTTTCATTATCTGTGGTTAAATGTTATATGCTATATTTCGGGCTGTTTAGCGTCAACAGTCTGCTACATTTAAAAAAGACATCGCCTATTTTCGTTAAAGCTTTCTGCTTAGAGATAATTTGAAAGAAACGTAGAAATGTTAGGGAATTGGGGTTTGATAAAAGAGGGAAAGAGAGAGAGAGAGAGAGAGAAGGAGAGAGAGGGAAAAGAAAAAAAGTGCAATGGGACATAATAGAGAAAAAGTGACATAGTTAGAAATATAGCGTTAAAGTGAAAAAGGGAAAAACAAAGGGAAAAGGAGATAATTAAAGAAAAGAAAGAAAGCAAAAAAGAATCTTAAGATATATATATATATATATAATTCTGCGCGCGCATATAATGCACAAACACATGCATGCATAGCGAAAACATACACACCTACTTATGCATATTTTCTTAGGTGTGAAGAGCATAATCGTGCTAAATACGACTGCCCAAGCGTGTGCGTTTTCTAAGCATGTTTGTATGCCTTTCTATTTTCTTGTATCATGTACGAGTTTGTCTGTATTTATAACTGTAAACAGTTTTGCAATCTTTCTTACTTAAAAATTTGTACGCTGAATGATTTACTCTTGAAACTGTCGGCTCAAAGGCGTCGGAAAATATAGATTGAAAGAAAAATTTCCTATTGTAAAAATAACTTATATTTTTATTGACATAAATCATTTTTATTATTACTTGATTGATGTATTTAGTCTTTATATACTGTTTCCTCTTCTTCGTCCTCTTCCACCCTACTGGCTATCGTTTTCTTCTTCTTGCCTCCCCGTCCCAATTCTACTGGATTTTCTATTCCGAATTCGCTATAGCTTTGAAATATAATCAATATTATAATGGAAAATAGATTGAAAGTTGATTTATAAAAAGCCACATGCTATAGCAAAGGAAAAGAAAGAAAGAAGGAAATAGAGAGAGGTTTTGTTTTGGCAGAATTGAAAATGATATTAAACACTAACGGGAAAAAAGAGATTATCGGAAAACAGAATTCGACGAATGACAAATGATATGATGAAATGCTATATCCGTCAATCCGGCTATAAAATTTACAAAACTATATAAGAGCATGAAAGTTACGCCACTTCCAACACCTGTTTTGTTTTCTCTCTCGCTCTCTCTTTCTCCTTATTCCAATTTATTCGATATTTTCTATATAATATACGAACGCTAATTACATTATTTCCTTCTTTATCTCTCCTTCGCTCTCTTTCTATATAGGCAGCTTAAACAAAAAGTAAAAAAAAAGAAAAGAAAAGAAGAGAGAGAGAGAGAGAAAGGTAGGTAGGAGAGGGAAAAAACGATGCATCTTACCTGACTTACATAACAAAGACACGGAGCACTTGTTTGAAAAATCTACATAAAAAATATAGCTGACAAGACGTTTTCAGGATAAAATTACTAAATTATTAAATAAATATTAATACATAATATCGAACCATTAATAAAAGCCCTCGTTATAAATATATATATATATATATATATATAGAGAGTTTTTTACCACTTTTCCTGTTTTCCTTACAAAATGTACAAGTAATAAAAAATCCAACACTAGTAATTTTTACTCTAGTAAAGAACTGTTTTTACAACTAGAAAGCAAAAAAAAACAATGGTAAAAAAACTACTTTCTAGAAATAGAGAAAAGTAGAGAGAGAGAGAGAGGGGAGGGGAGGGGAAGAGAGAAAAAAAGAGAGAAAAGAATAGGAAAAGGAAGAAGATATATAGGTAATAGCCTAATGATAAATATGGATTACAAAAAAAGAAACAAACAAAAGTCTTGGGAAAAAATAAACATCAACAACAACAAAAAGTTAAAAAACAATAGGAAAAAGACAAAAAAAAAAGAGAAAAAAGGAATAAAAACTGGATAGAAAAGTTTTGAAATAATAGGAAAAAACAAAAAAACAAAAGGTTAAACGTGTCCAAACGGTTTAGATTTACTGAATTATGACCCGAAAATAACAAGGAACATTTATCTAGTTTGCGTACGAATAATTATGTTTTCCAATTGACAGCAAACATTTGGTATTAGGAAAGAAAATAGATAGAATGCAGCGGCACGCGGCGTAAATGAAGAATTTACGAGTTCGTACCGAAATGATCATGATCTTGGGAGAGAAGAGAAAGACAAGTTATGAGCCTTACTAAACAAAGGAGCATATAGCAAATTGCCAATTCTGATAGGGTTAATCGGTACTATGGGCTTTTTTTATATTGAGACGTCTAAAACAGACATTTCGTGATAGGAAAAACTTTTCATCCAAAAACTTCTCGGAAAATGAGAAAGCCGTAATGGTTTAAGCATAAAAAAAAGAAAGAAAGAGACTTTTCCCGCTTTCTCCCTAAGTTTTCCTCTTCTCTCTCTCTCTCTCTCTCCACATTTCGGTTTGGAATGCGACAGAAATGAATATAAAATATCAAAAATTCAAAAATCTTTCACGCATACTTCATTTAATTCATTCGCTTTTGATCTAACGATTTACATTCGTCACTGGCGTCTAATTCCATACGGAAATGGAGAATAAGAGCGAGAGATAAAAAGGTCATCATTCGCCCTTTAACAGTAAATCTTCGACCCTTCACGCCCTAACGGACACGATGACGCTGCTGTTGTTAGATGAACAACTCCTTTCCCCTATTTATTTAGGGTGAATAAATTGGTTGATCGCGTGCAGTCGGCTTGCTCCGAAGCCTACTTTCGAGCTTGTACGGCGTTAAAGCGTTATGTATTGTGTGTATATGTCGCGCAACAATTATTATCTAACTGAGCGGAAATGACGCCTCATTCGGGGAGAAAATTCGAAAGGATTTATACGAATATATATTTACAGCTATACATATTTTTATATATAATATAACATAATATAATATAGTATATTATATATATAACATAGCCCAGCAAAGGAATTTCTGGCAGAGCTGCAGGTGGCGCCTGGTATTTTTTTGAAAGAAATTCTAAAAGGGAATTCGTGCGGCTCTTCCTCTTATTATTTATCCTTCAAATCGTTGTTCCACCCCTTTATTCTCTCGTTCTTTCTCCTTTTCTCTCCGCCTCTTCTCTCTCTGTCTCCTTCCGTTTTCACTTAAAGCCTAATCTCTGTGTACACAGTGAACTCCATTCCTGAAGCAAATAATATCACACACACACACACACGCACGCACACACATATATACATACATACATACATACGTACATATATTATTTTCTCTAAACTCTTATACAACGTTCTAAGTAAGGAGCGTCTATTAATTAAAATGTCACTGACGTCACCTAACGATTCTCGTCGCTTCGAAGTATACAAGTATTTCCGATTGAATTATTCGGCATTTCACCAGTAGACAATAAATTATCGCCGAGAACGCGTCGGCTTATATTCGCTAGGAAAAAAAAAACATACACCCATAAATCCAATGTAAAAGTTATCCTATTGTCCATACAACGCCCATACGTTAGGAACCCTGGGAAACGTTTAAGAGTCTAAAAGAAGGATATATATGGCCTGCGGGTAAAAAGTTACTAGGACGAGTGTCGAATACAAGAGAGAATAATAATAAATTGTTGAGAAAACGTAAGTAGGAGGAGAGAAGGAAATGTCTACGGTAGAGGGGGGGAGGGGGAGGGGGAGTAGGAGGAGAAATGAGAGAAAGATAGAAGCTGTATAAATACTGTCTTCAACTTATTAATATTACTTTTTCCATATGCACAAAATAGGAGACAAACAAATGCGAATAATTGTAGTGTCGGTAAAAAAATCATTTCAATATAAACAGTGGATTAGACGACGAATGCACGCGGTGAGCGCATTCTACGCAAACATGCGCATATAATTAACACTTTATATTCCATATACCGTATAGAAGTACATATCTGCAAACAGGAACGAACAACCCAATGCACATACTGTATACACATACATACATACATTCACTCTATGTTAAACGCTTATACGCAAACACTCGCACACTCGAACGCAATTTCTTTCTCTATCTATCTCTCACTCATCCACTCATCCACTCATCTACTCATTCGCTTACAAAAGCGTACAAAATACATACTTTATGTAAACGTCAGTATCAAGTATACATACTACTTGAATTAAATACAACTAAATTCTCTTTAGCACACGCGTTTACACGCCTGTTGTAAAATAGCAGCAATATACGAATAAGACAAACTAATACTAATAATAATAACAATAATCCCTAATGTAGTCCTAAACAAGGTAAGAGTTTTAATGAAAATAACTTATATGTATGTTTTTTATATACCTTAAACAATGAACACAATCCATCGATTACCAAACCTTTTTTTATCAGAGTGTAAAAATAATGATGTAATTTTTTATGTATGTACAAGATAGGTGTTGTTCACGTTTTTATATTAAATTACTTTGAATATATCATCAAATAGAAAACTGTAAGGAAAACAAAAAAAAACAGCAACACCGTACTGTAATATTCATACAAACATCAATTTCTATTTATGCTTTTTTTTGGCTGGAGGAGGAAAATCATCTTCGAAACCTTTTTGTTTCTTTTTACATAAATTCTCTTTTCTATTTTAAAAATAAAAAACAAGGAAGAAAAAAACCAATCATTCTTCTCTTCCATCTCTTTTTTTATTGATTAGGTATAAAAAGATAAATTTAGTTTTTAATTAGAAATGAGACTTATAAATAACGTGAAAAACGATTCCGTGCTTTTTTATCTCCTCCCTTCCCCTCTATTTGTGCTAATAACTCTTTCTCTCTCCTTTGCTCACACCCTTTCGGCTCGAGGACTAACGCCATCTACCGGTATGCAATCGAAAAAGGCCGTTTTAAAATGAAAATCATTGATTAATTGTAACTAGTCGTTTTTTAATCGTGCTGAACATTTTTATTTAAAGGTAAAAAAAGAAAACGAGACGATCGAACAACGTCATTATTATCAGTAGCGTGGAAATTCAAATAAGTCGGCTCTGCAATATTCGCCAGTATCTAAATTTAGAGCCAAAAGCTGACCTGGCTGGGCGTTTGGAGTATCGTGGTAGACCGCTACTCTATTAATAACAACGTCTAACAAGTAGTTGACAGCTTGACCAGTAATATTGGCGCAACCATTTATGAATAAGTCTTGGAGGAAACAGCAATGATTTGCCAACGCAAATATACTCTTGTCAGTTAGATTGTGGATGCCGGATAGGACTAGAAATTGAATATTTGGATTGGCAACTGCAATACTGCAAATTCCTTTGTCAGTAATCTATAATTAAGTTGTAGGAGGTGGGAAAAGAAAAGAGAATGAAAAATGATATTGTTTTAAGTAGGAGCAGCTATTGATAAATATATTATGATATTTACTCACCAGTCTGCAAGCTTTTAGTTCCATCACTTCTAGTGAATGACAATTGTCGGCTAAAGCAAAGAGAACTTGGTCGTCTACTATTGTAACGCCCGATAGGCTTAGTACCTTGAAATTTTTGCACCTCGAACATATATCCATAATTAGGTTATGCTCAATCTACTCAAGAGTAAAAAGAGTGTGTAGGAATGGAGTAGAATGGTTTTTTAAGCAAATAAATAGGATATTTAAAGATTCTTTACCGATAATCCGGAAAGAAAGAGCCAAGTAATCCTCTCGCACCTCTCTTGATCATTTAAAAGTCGCACTAAACCTCTCCCATTAATACCTTTCATATTACTTAGCATAATACTCCGTAGTTTAGTGCAATGTTCCGAGATCTTCTTTAAAGAATCGTCGGTTATATTCTTAACCATATCGTGACTTATGTCCAACACTTCTAAATTTTCTCCAACTTCTTCAATGATTTTCGAAAGGGTTGCATCGTTTAACGATGTTACTCCTCGCAACTTTAACTCTTTCAAATTCTTAAGGCGGCAAATTGTTCTGCAAAGAATATCTTCCGATTCCAAGCTTATTCCATTTAAAGATATCGAAGATAAATCAGGTAGGTTCATTAAGGCGGGATAACTAATCGCATTGGATAGTTTACTGATGAAGGATAGCTCTAAATTTTTTAAATTAGGGCATCCCTCCTTAAGGCAAACTAGAGAAGTTCCATCAACTTTATTACATCCAAACAAGCCAAGAGTCTGTAAATTAGGGCAGTTCTCTCCAATAATATTTAATGAAAGATTTGTCATCATAGAACTACCGGATACGTCAATTATTTTCTAAAGATAAGGATAAAAAAGAAAGAAAGAAAGAAAGGCATTAAAAGAAAAACAAGAAAAACTTGATGGCTTTTACTTTTTATATACGATTTCTTACCAAATTTTCATTACTGGATTTGGCTATGGTTTCAATCACATCCTCCTTTACTCCTATATTGTCTTCTAATTTGATCTCTTCAATCGTTGTATGACGTCGGAAAAAGTTTAATAGAATTTCATCAGATTGCAAATTCTTTAATTTACGTAGTTTTATTAATTTTAATTTCGGCGAATGGAATCGGAAGGCTTTTGATGTTAATTTTTGCAGTTTCTTTAATCTGATCTCCTCCAGTCCACTCTGATTTTCCAGTAAACTTCAAAGAAATGTAAATTTATATATTTGTATTTACTATAAAGTTTATAAAGCTCTATTTAAGTAGCATTTAATTAATTGTTCATTTCTTCACTTCACTCTATATAAAACACGGTAATTAATAAACTATTAATCATTTACCTCAGTAGGCCTTCATCTGTAATCAATGAACAAGAGTTTAGCTCAAATTTTACCAAATTATTAGTTTCCTGTCCAATTGTTTTTAGGTGAGAATCGTTCAATTCATAACTATTGTAAATGTTTAGTGTTCTAATGTTACACGATTTAATTACATATTTCTTAATAACTGCCCAGTTTTGAGAGAAAATCAAGTCGTGAGCGAAAATACGGTATATTAATGCTTCTCGATAAGATGGTGGTAAATCGTCAAGCAGACATCCCAGATCAGCCACAGAAAATGCAATAGTCTGATAGCAAAAATCTATTAAAGTTTTCACCATGTCTAAAAAGAGGCTTTTTGTTCCAGTAATGCTAATTTCAATGACTCATTCAAATTGATGACAGACATAAACCAAAAAAGAATCCAACTGATAGTCGAGATGTCTTTATTCGGCGGTAATTTTTGAAGAACTATGAATAACAGAGTCGGGTTGCCCTCTCGAACTTTGCTCTGTTTAAATTACGTAATCTTGAATAAGCGATTTGAATACCTTTTAATTTTCTCTTACGTGAAATGTAAGATGGAATCGTGCTTGATAGATTGACGAAATAGAGAGAAAAAGAGAGCGATACACATATACATACACACAAACGCACGCATAGTCAACATGTATAGGTGGGTAGACAGGATATATATATATAACATATTTGCAACAGGTTCTGGTCAACTGGGCAAACGTTGAAAGGAAGAAAAGGAAGAATAGTAGAGCTTAATTAATGCCCAAGTCGTAAAACTGGAGAATGGGCCTTAAAGGAGTTAAAAGAAGGAAATTGAGCCTAACATTAAATATTTCAGCGGTCGTTTGTAGACGAAATTGTCTCTAGAAATATTGTGATTAATCAATAGATTATGTTGAGTTACAAGGCCAGATAACTTGGTTTAATACGTATAAAGAAACAAGTTACAATATCCATTCCTTTTTATTGTTTTATGATTTATCGATTAGCTGATAAGCGCTCAATATCAGTGTTGTAAAGTTATTAAAATATTTGATAAGCCTCTTTTTGTGCACAGCTAAATGTCCATCCGGTTGTCATATATTTTGCATAAATATCTCAAAGTAGTAATCTATTCAGATAGTATTCAGTAGAATTAAAAACCAATATCCTGGAAATAGATGAAGCAGAAGGGAAGAGAGAATATAGGGGCAGGGATGAGAGGAGAGAGAGAGAGTGATAGCTAGATATTTAAGATGGCTAGATAGAGAGAGAGAAAGAGAGAGAAAGAGAGAGAGAGAGAGAGAGAGAGACTGACAGGCAAGCAGACAGACTGATAAACATGCAGGCAGATAAATATACAGATAGGTAGACGACAAACGTAAATTAATTCAAACAAACATAAAATAGAGAGAAAGAGCGAATAAGAAATAGATAGGTTGATAGATATTTAGATAGATAGATAGATAGATAGATAGATAGAGAGAGAGAGAGAGAGAGAGAGAGAGAGAGAGAGAGAGATAGAAAGAAAAATTGAAAGAGTTTCCTTCTAGAAGAGAAGAATAGAAGTTTCATATACGATACTGATTAGAATAAAAGTAAAGCGGTCTATATATACTAATTAGATGTAATAAGATAGAGTAGAATTTATACATTATGCATAATATTTAAGTCAGGAAAATCGATAAGACTCTTTTAAAAGGAAACACTGTTCAACAAGGTAGCGCCATCTATCGACGTCCCGCATAAACCCGGTTGCCCGTTCCAGTGAACAATAGCCGCTAATATCGAACGCGCAAAATGCATTACACAAACGCCGCTAGGCAAACAACGGCGAAAAATCGACGAGAGGACGCGACACGTTCGTACTCGTCTCGCGAAAAAAAAATTCTAAAATGTTCGAGAGCACTCTTTCACTCTTTTTTTCTGAACAACAGCCTTTATGAATAGAGGCGTAAAATAGATAGGCCAACGGCCCAATTTAAATAGAAGAATAGCACAATGTTTGAATGGCAGTGTGCAATCGAAAAATATTCTCGAAATATATTAATAGACTAGAAGATTGAATACGAAAATCTGTATATCCCTTTCCTTTGACTAGTTTTCACCCGAATATATGACTCTTGAAAAAATAGAGAAAATAAACAGAGAGAGAGAGAGAGAGAGAGAGAGAGAGAATGTGGGGAAGAGGACGAAAAAAGAATGAAAGAATGTATGCATGAATGAAGGAAAATAGAAATAAAATATAAAACATAGAGCTTGAACAGTAAAGTTAAAAAATTAATGGATCAGCGCTGCATAAGGCGCATACATAATTTAATCATAATTAATTCTCTAACACGACTACTACATAAATATGTACAATCCTTATATATGCATAAATTTGCAAATATAGAGAAAACTTGCTAATATACAGCAGTAGGTAAACTGTATTTATCTGTGTCTTTTTCATGTAGATGGTATTATTACATATTTAAATTAATATACATATTATATATATATATATATATATATATATATATATATATATATATATAATATGTATACAGTATATATATATATATACTGTATATAGATCTTATTGCTGTACGGACACTGTATATGTTTATACGTACATGCATATGTACGTGTACATACGTGTATAAACAGTCAATCGGCTTTTCGTTTATTGAACGATCCGAAATGTTTGTCATCACTACGCGCCGCTTGACAATCGCACGTTTTGCGGTGAAAAAACGATCGATGAACAGTTTCCGTCCCGTTTGTACACTGTATTGCCAATTGAATTATTCACAGGTATTGACAACGTAAAATATTTTCTCTTATCGTTTTATATAATTAAAAACTATTACACTCGCATTGATCCCGGGTACAGCAGGCACGATCAGACCTCTAAAAATGTATATATTTAAATATACATACATATAAATATATTGAATATTCATATAGATGTATCTACAAGTTGTATACATATGTATATGAATATACATTTATATATAAGCTATATATAAATATATACCTTAAACAGCATATATATATATATGAAAAGGCACCATAAACATTTAATATATTGGTATATACGAAAAATATGTTATAGAAATGAAGAGTTAGGCCTTATATTCGGGTGCATGAACAATTGTTGCAGTGTTTTTTTCATTAAATCTGTAACGGAATATTTGATGCATGACTATCGTGCATAAGTTAAAAATAGAATAAGAAGAAAAAATTGAATGCATCCCTATCCATAAATGATTGGGAATGCATGTCGAATTTATGATCATTTATGTTTAATAAAATTTGCAGAGCACGAACTTTGAAAACGTTCCACTCGATAATCTATAGTACAATTGATTTTCTCCTAACATTCAATGGAGCTTGAAAAAAGTACTTTTTCTCTATTTTTTGTTTTTCTCTCTGTTTGTTATTCTCTTTTCGCTTTCTATAGTTTGTTTTTTGTTTTATCATGCAATCCCGGATATAAAAAAAAGGCTGTCCTCCCCACAATCAAAATATATTCACAACAAAGACAAAAAAATAAACCAAAACAGAAATACATATTTCTTTTCTCTCCTCTTTTCTTTCTTTCTAACGTATTTCTGGAATGTTTCAAAAAAATATTCTACAACATTATCACATATTGCGCATGCGCAAAATAAGCGCACGGACTGTTCTTTTTAAGGCACGCGATAAAGAATATTCTCAATAATCTATATACATATATATATATATATATATATAAATATATAAATATATGTATATATATATACATAAAAAAAAATATAAGAGAAAACTGAAACTGAGAATTTCGTTTTGCATAAGATATATATACCGTATACATATACACACACATACACACACGTATATATATATATATACATATATATACATATATATATATATATATATATATATATATAAAAATACGGCATATATTGCGTTCGTATATATATATATACACTTTTACTAACAACTCCTTAGTATATATATATATATATATATATATAGCAGCGTCGGATGCCGAACATCATCATCATTATTAGTAAATAATATTGTTATTATTGTTATTGTTAATTATCAGCATTAGAGTAGATTAAACGTTTCAATCTTCCTCGTTTTCATCTAAAACTCTTTCTTCCCCCTCTTCACCATTGGCCAAAGCTTGTGATTGGGGTACAACGTAAGATTTAGAAAAGGACACCCGGAGATGGGCAGCTTCGGCTAGTTGATGATTATGCAAATTCTGTGAGGAATAGAAAAGGAGGATTAGCTAATGTTCAATACGACTGTGTACCATCTGCGAATCGATTCAATAGCAATTTTTTTTTTAATTTTTTCTTTTCATATATATGTCGTCTAACTGCTAATGAAGAACAGCCTCTCATCGCAGATGCGTTTCAATAGAGATCAATATAAGCCCGATTCAATAGTCGATCACCACTTTTTTAGACGTGCACTCAGTACAAAAAGATAAATATATATATAAATATATATATTCAGCATATATATGTTCGTATTTAATGACGTACAATATATGTCTCTTTGTCTAAATTGCTTCATAAAACTTCCATATATCGCACATAATTCATATACGCTTCAATATATACTGTATATACATACTGTATAGGTTATAATAGAGAGGCGAAAGATAGCACAATATCATTTAGAATAGAGTAATGATGATAATAAAAAAATAAAACATTAATAATTATAAGGAATTAATCTCCCATGCGTTGAAATCTCCAGCATGCAAAAAATTTTTGTATCATCTTATCAAATTGATAAATTTGTAGCCAAAACAAAAACTAAGAAACCTGTGGGGAAGGGGAGGAATTTTTAAATATCCGTCCTCAAATGACGGATTTGGTGAAGGAGACTCGTAGGTGCGAGCCGGCCATCAACTCGTAATTGTGCAAACCCTGTAAACGGTATAAAATGGGGAAAAAAAAAAACAAGGAGAGAAGGACGCGTTACGGTCACGTGATAATACCGCGGAAAAGGCTAATGAATAATTGATGAAGGAAATAATAAAGGGCGACACTGCATGAATGCAAAGCCCGGTCGATATAAAAGTGTATGCATGTATTGTATGTATGTATGCATGTATGTATGTCTGTCTGTGTATGTGTGTGTGTGTGTGTGCGTAAATATACAGTATATATCATATATATATATATATATATATATATATATAGAAGTGTGTGTATGTGCATGTACATTATTTAAACATACACATTTACTATGCATAAGAATTGTGCAGACGTACTTTTCATAGAATACGTATTAACGTGTTGCGTATGAAATTTCTCCATGTTTTTACTTGACTAAGCATATTTTTTTAGACTAATCATTAAACAGTAGATATCTATAATGGCCAAATGTATGTTTGCATGTTTGTAAACATTATTTAGGTATTTAGATTGTGTGTACAAGGCGCTTTAAATATAAATATATAAATGTATATGAATCTTTCAAAATGTTTCTCAAAGTGGTAAAAGTCCTTATAAATATCATAGTAATTGCGTTTGAAAGAGTGAAAGAAGGCTATGTGTAATATGGATAACTAAGGTTAAATGAGACAAAAGGGATGAAAAAGATAATATAGGGGAGAAAGGGAAATATTTGGATAAATAAAATATAGAAGAAAAGCATATTTTTCTTTCTTTCTTTCTCTCTCTTTCTTGGTCCTTTTATCATTTTATGTGTTTTTGATTTTTGTCTTTTTTTCGATTGATACCGGAGAAACTAAGTTGACAACTTACGATTAAAGCGTGTACGGCCTCCTCGACACCGTCCATCTGCATGAGAGCCATCTTGCGATCTTTTCGGTCCCGATCGGCGCTGCAAATAAAGCGACGGTAAACAGGCCGCCGTTCGAATTGTTTACACAGTCTGTTTGCGCAAGCCAGAGACGAGTAGGGACACGAAAACACTGTCGCATGTATAATTTTCTCTCTATACTCACTCAACTCTTGCACACACATAGGCACAATAAAAAATTCCCTTCATTCTTTACCGCTTCTCTTTCGTTCTTAGGCACAGGGAATATTCATGTTAGCTCACTCTCTAATACTACTATTGAAATAACTTAAATACTCAAAAATAAGTCATCAAGGCCTACTTGTCTGTGTTAAGCCAATTGTCTATCGGCTAAAAAAGATATAGATAGATATTCTCTTTCAACGTATCAATAATCAAATAGATGTTGAGCGTGCAAGCGTGTGACGCAGGAAAAGCGGGGTGTGTAGTTTTATGACTTATTTGTTTACTGTGTGTCAGATACTAATCGAGAATGATTAAATATTGATGTAGACCTATTTTTACTTCTCTGGTCAGAGAAGAGAGTATATTGATAATTAATGGAAACCTGGCTTTAATTACGGCATACAGAGTGTGTAAAACTATTCTCTTCCCCTTTCCTCTCTCGCTCTCATTTCTTACCAGTCGCCCACCCTCGTATAAATAGAGGGAAGAGATATGGTTTATATGGTGAAGAGAAGGGACGAGGGGAAGAATGGCAAAAAGATAGTGTACTTACCTAAAGAATTTAAAGTTGACTATCGTTCCGAATTCGCCAAACAGATCTCTTAGGGTTTGTTCTCCGACATTCGGTGGAATGTTAGATAGATGAAGCGTGGCAGACGGAGGATAAATGTTGTGATGATTCTTCGAGTTAGGCTTTTTAAAGCGGTGGAGAGACGACGAAGTGTAGTCCTTTGTCAGCTGAGCGTCCTGCTGTCCTTCCCTAGGCATCTGTACAACGGCGTGCTTGGATTGGGTTACTTTCAACGGCTTGCCCCACACGCGGATGTTGTTAAGATGCTGTATGGCGAATTGGGCGCCGGACGGGTCGTTGTATTGGACAAGGGCATTGTCCTTCTTGTTGAAGAGTACTTTAACGCGGATCACATCGCCGTAGACGCCTATTGTAAAGCAATATTAATAATTCTATGATATTCAAAAAGCGTGCATTCAGGCGTTTAGAGCGACGCCGTTGCATATTTTATGGCGAATGTATAGTAGTATATAGTTTATATGCACGGCAAAAAAAAAAAATGAATAGAGAACGTACCAAACAGGGTAAAGAGAGCATCGGGCGTGACCGTCTAGAATGAGAATGCGCAGAATTTTAGTTCGTTGATGAGTAGCGATCAGGAGGAGTAGGAGTAGGAGCGGCGGAACAAGGCAGAGGAGAAAAAAACACGAATGTGTCAGCAAAAATCGAATAATTTTTTTTAATTGTATAAAAAGAGCGGCACTTTTTTTTTCTTTCCCAGTTTAGTTTAGTTAACATAAACGTAAATATTTAAATAGTCAAACGTTCAGAAAAAAGCGCCTCCCTACTTATACAACCTTTCTATTTTTTGTCATTGAAAGAATTGAGAAAAAGTGCAAAAAAAATAGAGTTTTTGAATAATGCAGCCATTTTGGTTTTTCATTGTTTTTTTTTGGTTTTTGTTTCAAACATAAAAATAAGGAAAAAATTTTTATTAACTCACTTCTTCATTCAGATTCGATACCAGCACAACTGAATTGATTGCGGGAGACGAACTTATTGACGGGAATCGTAGTGTTGTTCCAGGTAGATTCAATCCAGGTACACTCGAAGGTCCTATAAACGGTATAGCTGTTTATAAAGAGTAAAAAAAAATATCACATTAATATAAAAGTTACCCTGACTGTAAAGATATCATTTAAGTTCATAAGATGAGATGAACAGATTAGATAAATTGTTTTTCTGTTTCTAGTCACGTGACTCTTTTTATTGTGTTTAAACGCTAAACGGCTTCTGTTACCAAATTCTAATACGTGTTTTAACAAAAAGCAGTCATGTGACCAATAACTGGAAGTATTTTATTTTATTGTCATTTTTTTTTGACTTGAAAAGGAAATTAAGAAGAAGAGAAAAACAGAGGAGGACGAAGCAGCCGAATATCTAAGAAGAACGAAACAAGGAAGAGAGATGAAAGTTGATTTCTTGATGTTTTCTTGCTTTTTAGCAAGTTTTTACAAGCGACAACAAAACAAAAAGAAATAAAACTAACGAATAATCGAATAGGAAATAAAACTAAAAGTAGAACGAAGAGAATATAAAGACTTTAGAAAAAAAGCTGAAGACGGAAAGTATGTTTTTTTTGTGATTGAACGTTTAATCCGACTTTATTTTTTCACTCTCTTTTGTTATAATGGGGCGAGAGGAAAAAAACAGTGATTTACGAATATGAATAATAATTATAGTAGTGGAAAAAGAATTCGAAAGAAAGGAAGAAAGCTTATGCTATTAGAAACGGAGAATTTCGTTGAAATAAAAGTAAAGAGACGGTTCGTCGTAATTAGTAATTAATAGTAGTAATAGGTCATCTAATAAAAACATTGTGGTTTTTTTAAAACGGGCCATGCAGATAAAATTGATAGATAGTTCAAGGTGACTGAGTTTTAATTCACCACTTTACCTGGCGAAGGTGCGAAGGGTGAAATGAATGTTGTAGCTCCTAATTATTCAAAACCAATCTCTAGACAGTTATCTATCAAATTTTAGACACTCTTAATAAAAGGTTACGGACCTGGTGCTGCTGGGTTTGTTCGGTAGGGAGATCCTATTTGATCAATGGTCAACGCTCCCGATGTCGAATCTCCAGACGGTAAAGTCGGATTTGTATAGTCCCGCGACTTGTCATTATTGTACTTGACATTCAGCGATGTCAGCTTAGAAAAGTCGATCCGAAGGGTACAGCAGCCTCCGTAGATATTTTGACCATTCAAGCTAAATTTGGCTGTTTGGGCAGCCATTGGTTCGGACATTTGAATAAGAGCTTGCAGTTGATCTGGAAAATCTGTTAAAGGAGAGAGAAGAAAAAAAAAACGATAAACAATTAATAGATAATGAAAAAAATAGGGAAAGAAGAAGAAGAAAAATACTCTATTCAAATTTTTGTTTCATGACGTATGAATAATAAATGATTAAGACTACGGTATGCGTTTGAAAAATCGATTTTAAATTTAATTCTAGTTATACAAACCGGCATGACTATGATAGTCAAATTTACTGCGGGATAGAAAAGATGGAAAAAAAACACATACACACACACATATATATATATATATATATATATATAGACACGGCGAAGGGATAAGAAAATAAAATATCAATTAAATTAAAACTTACTATTTTTGCTAAACGTGACAATTTTCAAAACGGCTCCATAACGGGAAAATATCTGCTTGAGTACGTCAATGGATACTGGATAAAGCATATTATCGACAATCACTCGCAATACGGTTCTGTCGTCCGCTTGACTGGTAACCGGAGAAACGGCTTCGGGACTTTGGCCCTCCTGTTCCGTCTTCAAATGCTGATGATTGGAATATTGAACGTAAACGGGACGTCCTCTAACCGTAGGCTGTCTTTCAGAGTAATACTCCAACAGTGCTTGGGCACTTTGTACTTCGTCCATTTCTAGTAAGGCTTGATTCTTCTTCTTTGCTAATACCAAATTGGTCATACGACCAAACGGAATGCCTAGTTGGACAATATCGAGCTCCGTAGCGTCTGCCGGAACCGAACGGAAGTGTACCACTCTTGACGGTTGGCTCTGTTCAGAAGGAGTTAGATCTAATTTGACTTTCTTCGCGTCTTGACTCTCCTCCGCAGAAGACAGTTGTTGCGGTTGTTGCTGTTCGGCGGTGCGCTGTTTGAAATGGGAAAAAGGAGGAATGAGAAAAGAAATATAGAGGGTAGGAGGTACAATAAGACTTAGTAAGATAAGGGAATAGAGCGATATATGCATATATATATATTTTTTATATATATGCTTATATAATATAAGGGAGAATGAGAGCAATAGATAAATAGATAGATAGAGAGAGCGAGAGGATTACGTGAAAAAAAAAACTTGGCTCGTATTTTAATTGATTAGAATTACATAAATATTTGCATCATGTTCTAGCCATCTTGCAAACCTTTTGTAATAGTTGAAAAGGTAGACAAATACGCGCCCATTATCGTTAAAATGCAGAAATTAAACAAATGCACAGGCTAGGAGAATATAAGCGACATTTTATTCAAATAATCGTTCACGTTTTATTAGTGTCAATTTCTATCTGGTCCTAGTAATTGTTATCTACAATTTTTTCTCTCTCTCTCTCTCATTCAAATATATATACATTCCTTTATCGAGCTACGTATTCATATTTTATATATACAGTATATATATATATATGTGAATGAGATAAATCTAACTCTTTTATTAATACATATATTTATAGATATATCTAAAATGCTCTCTACACTTATTTACTGGTGCTCGTTTTCGTTCTATTCCTATCCAATAAAAGCAATCATATCACCTTTGCATTCCTATGTTCAATCATACCTATACAATGGTAGTACGAGGTAAGACCAACTGTTTACTCTCCTAATCGCAAATATTACAATTTAGGCCGTCAATTTTCTGAACCAAACTATCGTATTGAGAGAGATCGAGAGATTGAGATTGAGAGAGATTGAGAGAGAGAGATCGAGAGAGACACAGCGAAAGAGTAAGAGAGAAAGAGAGAGAGAGAGGTGCGCTCCCTATAGAACAGGTGCACCAAACAATATTGCAAAATTCCCAATACGCATAAAAAGGTAGTTAGGCGCTCCTCTATTTAACTAGAACAAACAGCATACCTTTAAAGAAACGTTCTGTAAGCCAATGGTCGACTGCGGCGTCAGAAAAAGGGCGTTGGACGGAGGAAGAGCGGCGGAAGTTGGGGCGGTATTTGCCGGGATTACGACTAGTCCTCCTGTCGCCGCGTCCACAGCTAACATTGTTTTACGTAGAGAAAATTAAGAGTAGAATCGTTTTGCGTTGACAGAAAAGAACAGAGAGAGAGAGAGAGAGAGGATACGGATCAGTGATCAGTGCACTGTTCCCGCCGCCATTCAATATTCTATTGCGCTGTCAACGACGCCGCGCGACATCTGGCGACGACGAACAGCGCGCGCCACCTAGGAAAGAAATCTGACCGTCCTATCACGATCGTTCGTGACTTTGAAAGGGAATCTACTCTTTGGGATTGTGATAATTTTTTTCAAATTGAAAATTATATTCATAAACATACCTCACATAAACCGCAATACTACAAAATGCTGCCGGCCAAACATCGATCAAGCGTTAGTCACAGCTGGCACAATTCCGCTTTTATTTCGGCGATACGAACTCAGATATACTTAAAACGGCCGGCGCCTTCATAAAACCGAGCGAAAACGGAAAATTTTTTAGAATAACTGGGCCTAGAGTCGAGTTATTACAGTTGTATTGTATCCAATTTCCTATAATTCGATAATAAATCAATTTCTGGTATGAAACTGTTGCTGAGTGCGGACGGCGTTTGATGTGTTTGGTGTAGGGGGAAGGGGGTAGGGTTATAAAAGGTAAAGGGTGAAAGACAAAGAGAGTCTGTGAGCGGTTAAAACACGAATAGACTGCGATAGAGAGAGAGGGAGGAAAAGGGATATATACATATATACTATACTATATATACAGAGTATAGTATATATATATATATATATTTTACCATGTATGTAAGGAGAAAAAGAGCTAGCTAGCTAGCTGACTGCTACAACAAACTTGTTCAAGAGTAGTAGTCTCCTTCCTCTCTGTCTAACTCTTCTACCTCACTTAATTCCAACTAATTGCTTTTTAAAGCCCAGTTGTTAAATGTTTACCTTGCCGGAATATGTTACTCTTTGACATCCCTTATGCATTTTTAATCTATTCATCTGTTGCGAATTATTTGCATATGAATTGATATACTGTATGTGGGTCATGTCAACTTTATCAAGTGCACTCTGCCGCAGTACAATATTTGGGTCACTGCAAATTAACACTAACGAACTAACATCATTAATAAAGTATTATTTTACTAGACCGCTTATTTACTCGTATGCTTTTTCATGGTTTTAGAAGCAATCTTTGATTAAAGATAAGATAAAAAAGAGGATATTTAAATTAACTTTCATTTAAGCCATGGATTTCTGTCTAAGCATTCAAAAAACGCACCTTTAACAAACGTTATTAATCTTTTCAGTAAAGGTAAATAAGACGTGTACATACAGTCTGGAAAAATATGCAGTATTATTTACGCATTTATTGGCCCGTAGATGGCGCCGGGAGGAAACTAATAATAATCTTGTTAAGAAATTGTAGTATATACAGCTAGCGTATAATTGTATATATGCATATATATATATATATATATATATATATACAGTATAATAGTAATAATAATAATGATAAATAGATATTGTACTATTCAATAAGCGTAGGCGAATACTAAAAAAGAAATGTTAAATTTAAAGGTCTACACTTATCATTTTATTCGTAATTTCCCTTTAGATTTCGCAGATTTCGAGGAGAGATGAAATTTGCGACGAGCACTTTCTTTACAGAGTAATTTAATTGTCGCTATTGATTACTTAATTAATTCCTTATTCATTGTCAATTCATTGCAACAAGTAAGACCAAGTATAAAATAGCCAAGAAAAAAAAAGACAGAGGTGGTGGGAGGGAGAATAAAGGAGAAATAACATACAAAAAACACAGTCACAAACCATATATGGCTAATGCCTAAAGCTATATTCAGAGTAGGTAAAACTATAAATGGCACGTCCTACGTAACCGCTATTTTTTGCATTACAAAGTTGAACAAATTTTCCACGAAAAAGACTACTTTTTCTCTTCCCTTCCCTATATTTTTCTCTCTCTTTCTCTCTTTCCCTCCCTCCCTCCCCCTCTCTCTCTTTCTCTCCCTTTCTCCCTTTCTTTCTATCTCTCTCTGTCTGTCTGTCTCTCTCTCTCTCTCTCTGAAGCCCTGTCCTGTGCAAGGCCGAAGAAAGAATAGAGCACGAAAGAAAGAAAGAAAAAAAAAGAATTCCTTTAAAGAACATTCTTTCGTATAACCTAAAATGAAATGAATTGTGTAAAGCGGCCGCGTATCGAATATTGAAAAGCTACTATTGCGAACCTTACTGTATGAACAATAGATTCGGGACAGGAAAAAAGAAAATAGTTATTTTTTTTACCTTCTCAGCAATTTTCATTTCACATTAGATGATTTGATAGAGAGAAGAGATTAGGGTGAAAAAAGTCATAGATCTTTATAGTAAGACAAGAGAATTTGTTGGTGTTTTTTTTTTTATTTATTTTGTTATTTTTTTGTTCGCTTTCCTTGCTTTTCCTTCTATTCTTTTATCCTTCTTCTTCTTCTCTAAAAATCCTCCTTTTTCGATTTGTTATTGTTTTATTCTATTTTTGTTTATGTCTTTTTCCCTCTTCGAACAAGTTGGTTGAGAAGAAGAGTGATAAATCGTGTTCTGGGTTTTTCACAATCGATGGTTACACAGCACAAATAGAATCCTTAAAGTTTAGGTTTTTAGGGTAGAAAAATTGTCTGCATTCTCATTCCTCTCTTAGTAAAATTTTTTGTTCTGGCCAACGTTATATGATTTTGTTTTTTTATTTTGTTTTTTTATGAAATATTTTCTCTCTCATTCGCTCTTTCACTCTTCTCCTAAACCCATCAATAAAATTTAGATAATGTTGAAAAGAGTTCGTACCTGCTGCCAATAAAGTGAGTTGGTAAAAAACAATTGAACGGCTCTTTGCTAAAGTTTATTCAATCAAATTTGTTGTTGTAGTTAAATTGAAAGGCAATCGGTTAGTATCAATATAATATTGACAAGCACTCCAGTTCAAAATGTTTATTTAGAGAATTTTATTTGAGATTATGACGAATGAAAAATTCAGGCGCCAGATGGCGATAAATATTTTTTTTCAACAAAAGAATATAAGAGAATAATAGAAATAACAAAAAGAAAAAAAATACATAAAAATATTGAATAGTTCGAAAAAGTGCTCAAGTAAATTTTTTTTCTATTTTTTTTTTAAAAAAAAAACATATAACAAAATTAAAAAAAATTGAGATTTATATAACAAAATAACCTTTTTTCCTTATTTGTTATATATATACATATATATATATATATATATATGTATATGTATTCTTATATATATATATACGTATATTATATGTATATTTCCAAGTCTCTTTTTTTATATTGTACGAAATTTGGGTCAATTTTTTTTCTCTTTTATTCAGATAGTCCAATTTAGATAACAGAACGAACATTTGAATTGAATTGAACTAAGTTAATTGGCTTTTTTTTGGCTCATTTGACTAAAGAGAATATAAACGTTTATTTTTACCCTATTCTCTCCATTTCAATTTAAGAATAAGCCCCTTTCTCGTATTGTTATTTGACTACTCCTCCTTCCGTCTCTTTCATTTCTCTTTCTTTCTCTCTTTCTCTCTTTCTCTCTTTCTCTCTTCCTCTCTATCCCTCCGTCCCTCTTTCTCCCTTACCCCTTCCCTCTTTCTCTCGATTCCCGCTATAACCCTCCTAGTAAGATACGCATTAGAAAAATTTTAGGGCCCCAATGGCGAAATATCTTAATTGTTAATGGAATAATAAAAAGGCCTTGGGCAATATTTCTATATTCTGAATAGAAGTGATAGACTGTTGACAGAACAACAACACTTATCTTTTCTCTTTAATCGATTTACTCGAAAGATACGAGGCCACTGCCGCCACAGCATGTGCCGTGGTCTTAAAAAAAAACTACTCCTAACATATACTGTGCACCGTACGAAAATGCAATACATGTAGCTCGACAACTTGATATAGATATATAAAACTCACATGAATATTGATAAAGTTACTAATATATATATATATCGGACACGTACAATAGAAAAATATATATTAATATAATTACCTTTGTCTCAATAAAAGCTCTTTTGCCTCCTCTTCCTTCTCTCCTCAACATCGTTTAAGCAAGCGTTTAAGTAAGGATAAAAGAAATAAGAGAATAATCGTATGCGTGACCAAGTATCCATTGCATTTGATGTTTTGTTCTTAGCGACTTTGATTAATAATAGACAACTTAAAAATCAATCGAATAAATAAACATCTAACCATCATTTCTTCCTAAATATCTTTGAAATTTGCGGAAAAATGATGATTCTATATGAGAAAATTGCATAAGCAATTCCTTTTATCCTTCTCCTTCTTACTACTTTTCTTATCAGATGACTTTTTGCTATGTACGACCAATTTTTACTATCTTACTCTCTTAATCATCGCTCAAATTGTTTTATCTTAAAATAATTAAACATTCAGATCTGATATCAGTACGCGCCATTATATTGGTGTATATATTGTATATTACTATTTGCATTATATACATTATCTTGTTCTTTTTCCTCCTCTAGTTTTAGCTCTCTCAATCTTTCTATCCTTCTCTGATATATATGATGAAAAGATACTGTTGTCACCTTTTTTCCCACCCCTTCCGAGTACTTTTCAGCTTTGCAACTTTCTTTTGCCTACCAAGAAAGGATCAGACATATTATCCGCCTGACAACAGATTGCAAGAGTTTAGTTAACGTTATGACTACTCTTATTGACAAAAATAAGGTAGATATGACCAAAGTTTTTGATCTAGTCAAATTGAATTCTATTAATAATCTAGTTGATGAGTATAAAAGATTTGTACGTTGGTTCGTTTAACAAAGCTTTTACTGTATCTCTTCTTTCCTTGGTTTAATATTACTTTTAAACTATTTATTCCCTTATTTTCACTAATCTCTAGGTTTTAGCCATTTCTATTTTTAATACAGATACTTTAATTAAAGAGATAATCCCTGCTATCGATTTTGGGAATGTAATCGATACAAACAGGGCCAAAATCAGTGATATTCTCTCTGGGCCATTTGACCATTTGATGTGTTGAGTTGGATCGTTTGGATGGGATTTGGATAGCGATCGTCAAGAGTATCGTGAACGATTGGGACGTTTAGAATCTGTAGGATTTAGTAGAGAATGTGGATAAATTATAGATTACTATAGATGCTATTATTAAGATGGCAAAATCTACTGAGATTATCCGCCATTTTGTCGTTAATACAATCTACATAAAATAGAAATAATTTAACGAGCTTTTTTCGGAAAATTTTCGTAATAAGAATTTATACGAAACTTAATCTTCGCAACCTTCTCTTTCTTCTTCTCTCTCTTCTTTTTCTTTTTCTTCTTCCTTTCCTTCTTACCTTTCTTTTCTTTTCAACTAGATATAGTGCGTACGCGTTTCTTTCGGTGGCTGCATTGTTGAAAGGTTAACTGGTAAAATGTTTGAAGAAGCCCTCAAAAAACATGTGTTCAACCCTTTAAACGTGTTTAATAGGGATCTAATTTCAAATTTGAACAATTAAATGACAATATCGACACAAAAAACCAAAAGAATCGATAGAGAAGCTATCGAGTCAAATGCCATCATCCTGGTAAGGGGGATGGGACTAAAAAAGACACTCCCAGCCCAACTAAAGATGCAAGTGTATGTAGGAGATTGGGAATGTTAACAAATTGAAATAATGATTTATTTAAAGGCAACAAAGAGGAAGGGAATCCTTGAAGAGAATTCAACTCAGGAAAAATTCATTCACCTCAACTTTTAACGCTGATAATATTCAAATGATTAGTACTACAAGTGTTCGAATTTCAGAATATATTTCTTGTGTATTTTATTAAGTTTATCTTTTTTATCTGAAAGAAATATCCGTAATACAATATAAAACTTATACTTTGTCTTTGTCATATTATACTATATATACAATGTATAGCATTCATACATTTTTCTATCTCTTTTCTACTAAAGAGAATATCCTTCTCTTCTATTGAAGATCTTACACTTGAAGATTTGTATATTGGAACTTCTGGGAATTTATCTGTCTCTTCTATTCTTTCCTCTTTCTCTCTCTCTCTCTCTCTCTCTCTCTTTTTTACCAATAGAACAAGATATTGTTGAATTAAGACTGAAGAAACCGCTCTAAATAGGTTATCGACAATCTTCACATCCAGGATCGATTGGCGGTTTTAGTTCTTCGTTCTACCTGTTTCCCAATATAAAATCTGGGCCTTTTGTCAGTGGAAATTCTTTTACGATACTGTAAAGATCTCTTCGCATTATTCTCTGAGCTTGAATTATTTATGAACATTACTGTACTTGCAGTGCGTCTGTTCTCGCTTTAACTTATTACATAAGTGATATACTGCAAGGGAGGGAGCCGTTTATTAATTCAGCAATTGCTTACACCTCTCCAGAACCCTGGAGTGAAAATCTTCCATTTCAAGGTGATTAAATGAGAAGTATGGGTGAAGCGCCACCTGTTTCTAAACTTGTTGAAATTAACAAGTTGAAAGGATCGATAGAGAAGTACGGAAGATCTAACGGTTATCCATTATTTGGAAATATAACAATACTCAAAGATTGGAAACTGATCGTATAGATTGTGTAAAGTTATTACCAAAGGAATGACAAGGCAATTTTTAATGTTAAATTAACGGAGCAAGCTACTTTCATGCTGAAAGGTTAATATATTGGTAGAAAGCCTCAAGACCAATTAGATTCTAATCGAGAATAGACAGAAATATCAAGAATATTCAATTGGTTTAAAGGGATTTTTTTTAGATTGGACCATCTCCAATATATGATTGCCCTTGAAGAATTATTTGTTTACTATTTCCATTAACGTAGTGGCAGTTGCATTAAAACAGACTAACTATTCATATGATTATTAGTAAATACTACATTTAAATGGAAATTGATTTTCAGCTATAGAGATCATAAATACAGACGTCTCTTTTTCTACTAGTCGTTGTACATATTTCTTATCTTCCTCTTAGTAGAGTAGGACAATAATTAGGGTGTTTTGAATGAATAGCTCTAATAGCGGCTGAATATGAATCATAGGAAGAGTCATTTCTTTTTCTTATCTTTAACTTATCTCTGACCATTCTCGATGCAGTTTGATTAGACTTTTCAAGTATATAAGCGCGTAGGTTTAACAGTTAATAAAACTTTTTATTCTACAGCACAAGATGCAATTAAAATTAGTCGCTATTTTTCTTGCCGCCTCCCTGCAGCTTGCTCTCTCCATCACAGACGATGAAAAGGACGACATTCGACGTTTTATTAGGCACACCATAAACTGTAACAATGTGCCCGGTTTTACTGTAACCGTTGTTGACAACAATAAAATTGAGATGACGGAAGCCTTTGGAAGTCTCGACATTGAATCGGATGATGCATTGGCCGATGCTCATAGCAGCTTCAGTATAGGGTCTTTATCGAAAGCTTTTACTGCGGCTTTAATGACCAAAGTATTGGAAAAGTCTAATTTCAATATGGATTCTTTGCTGAAGGATATTGTTCCAGAGTTGAATTTGGGAAACGATATAAATACGAATCAAGCAACCATTAGAGATTTACTTTCGCATAAACTGGGCTATCTGGGCTATGGATTCACTTGGGCAATTGGTTTAGATCCAGTTCATAGCCGGCAAGAGTATTGTGGCCGCTTAAATCATATTAAATCGATTGGGTTTAGATGGCGTTATAGGTAAATAATAAGAAACAATTCTCTAATAGTTTTTATTATCCGTTAAAGAAATTATCTATTTATCGTTTTCTGTTCTACAGATATAGTAATTTCATGCTAACTTTAGCTGGTTGTATAATTGAAAGAATTAGCGGTAAAACTTATGAGGAAGTTTTCAAAACTGAATTAGCTGATCCTCTCGAAATGAGAGATACTGATTTAATAAGCAATATCAATAATTGGGATTGGAAAAAGTTTGCATCTCCACACTCTTATGATGATATTGATTCTCGGCTTAAGAGAATCGATAGGATAAATATAGAAAGTGTTTTAGGTGGAGAATCTTCTGGTGGTATCTTCAGTTCGGCTACCGATATGGCTAACTGGATTTTAGTTAATTTAAATGAAGGAAAATTTAAAAATAAAACAATATTCAATAGAGACGCTCTATTAGACATTCATTCACCGCAATTCGCAAGCAATTTTGATCCAAACAGCGTTGTAAGTAGTTTTCTTTATAATTTATTTTTAGGTTTAAACTAGGTCGTGCAATAAATTGCCTTTCGTACAGCGTCGTCCATACTTTCCTGTAGAGAACTCGCAAACAACCTACGGATTGGGTTGGAGTATAGGAACTTACGGAGGATATAGAGCTTCCATGCACGGTGGATCAATTAATGGGTTTAATTCTCTTATTTACTTGTATCCAGATATTAAATCTGGTGTTTTTGTTGGTGGAAATACGTATGCGTCAAGGTTGGCTAACAAATATAACAATACTTTATTGTTAAATAATGTATTTTCTTAATTGCAGTAATACCATGGTAGCTGTAACGTATTACATCAGTGACATTTTACAAGGAAGGAAACCGTTTATTAATGATACAACAGCCTGCACGTATCCCGAACCTTGGATCAATAACATCCCGAAATCGGCCCTGCCTGAAAAGGAAAAGAGTCGTTTCGATATCCCACCGCTCTCTTTCACAAATCACGTTAAAATGAATGCGGAAAAGTACACTGGAGAGTACGGACATCCACTTTTCGCCAATACTACTGTCTGGTATGACGAATCAGAGGAGTCGTTAAAGGCAAAATCGGGTCATATAGGATACGCTAAACTACTACCAACTATTGACGAACAAATATTCGTGGCTAAATTAATAGGACCAATAGAATTTATAGTACGCAAGGGAAATAATCCGAATATGACCTTTCCTCTGGTTTTCCAATCCGATTCGGGAGGAAAATATCAAAAATTATGGAACGTTCTTTGGGAAACACAGGATCCTGTAATATTTGAAAGAGGCTTATTATGGAATAACTAAATAAATCAAATATTATGAAGAAAATAAACAAATAAACAATTCCATCAGAAAATAACAAACAGAGTTGCACTTGGTGTTTTTTCCGTTTTTTATATTACGAAATGGCAAAACATTTGACAATAATTTTTTATTAATCAATAAAAATCAATTTAAATAAATAACTAAAGACATTTTAAATGCATATATGATGTTATATATAAAGAAAAAATCCATTACCAAAATATTGCCTCTGCTATTATCTTGATATAATTATATAATTGAAATACTTCATGGCTTTTTAATTTCTCTTCCCTTTGCCCCCTACCCTCTTTCTTTCAGTCTCTCTCTCCCCCCCCTCCTCTCTCTCTCTCTCTCTCTCTTTTTACTATTCTCTTCACCTCCTCTTTTTCTCTCTTTAATAGACACTTTAATTTTTTATCTTATTCTCTTCTCTGCTTAGTTATTTCATTAGCAATTCTTGTCTCTTTTAATAACATAGACTAATCATTAAATGCATAATTAAATTAGTATTTTTACTTAATTACTTAAATGAATAATATTAACTCTAATAATTGATGAAATTGGCTAATTACGAGGAAAAGACGATTTAAATGAAAAGGAATAAAGCCGATCGAAATGTTTTTATTATTTTGCTTATTAACTATAATTCTTGTTAATGTTTGTTTCGTTTTTTCATTTTTTTTTAACTCCTACCAGTTTTCATTTGTTCATCTTTTGAAAGAACAAAAGAATTCTACTGATTTACTAACAATTTCTCGGAAAATTCTCGTTTGGGTGTTTAGTTCTTATTTAATCCTGAATACGAGATTAGATCTGCTTGACAATGGTATTGTTCTACTAGCAAATAATAGACTTATCGTTGAAAATTCGTAGATTATCATTAATAATGTCTAAGAGAGCGCTTAGATTATCGTTATGAATAAATAAAAGAATGATAAAAACTAGTATAATCAACCAATTATAGTATACGTCTATTACTGTATAAACTGTATATTTATATTTAGACGCACTCATCTACAATCAAATAAGTATCAATTATATATAAATTTTTAATTGAAATCTTCAAGGCTTATAGTCTTGTTTAAAAGAGGGAAAGAAAAAAGGAGAGAAAGAAGAAAAAGTATTTTAAGATGATTAAAGAAAATAAATAAATTAAAGATGGTAATTTCTTCTCGGGCGTCTCCCTTAAATAAATTTGGTATTATTTTAATGGTCAATTAAAGTAAAATTATTAAATAATTGAAAAGAATGTGACGCCTGGAAAAAGTTATGAAATACCAACCAACCGTCGTGTGTTCCCTTCTCCTTCTCCTTTATATACATTGGAGGCTGTTTGGAAAAAATTTATGCCTTATTTATCTTTAGCATTCTTCTTATGTTTGTGGGTAAATAATCTGGGAAAATTGAAGCCGATTAGACGTTATTATTCCTTTTGATGGAGTGACTTTTGAATAGGATGCCGACGCATAAAGAAAGTATAATACTGTCAGAGATAAAGAAATATTTACTTTACGTCTTCTAGTAATAGAGATTCTGTAAATTCCATAGTATTTTTTTTTAAATCATTGTTTTTTCTTCCTGATCTTCATCATTCATGATTATTAATTAGCTTAAGGAAAAAAACAACACCTTTAAAGGGATTTCTACATTAATTGTCGTCGTTTTCTTTTTGAAAAGATGAAAATTTCCCCAAGGAGAAGATATTTTCTATTTAATTCTTTTCTCCTGCCCCCCTCCCCTCCTCTCTGTCTCTGTCTCTCTGTCTCTCTCGATCTCCCATTCCTCCCACACACATACACACACAGTAGTTCCAAACGATAAGATAGTTTTCTGTTAAATCTTCAGGAAAAATTACATCTTGAAGGTATTCTCCAAAGAAATAATCAACAAGGACAGTTTATGAAGTTGGGATTGTTTCTTATAAATAAACTAACGAGTTTAATTAAGACTTCCTATGATAACTCTACTTGGGAAATTTCAAACTCGTCCTCAAGCAGTTTTTTTGACCTACGTAATGACCTTTGAGCGGAAGACGAACAATTAAGGAGTTTCTTAGAAATAAATTGGGCTTTTTCAGTCAGTATCGCAACTGTTATTAGTGTCTTAGAATAGAGTCACGACTGTCATGAGTATGGAAGGAAACGAAAGATGAGAGGAGAGACACGAGTAAATACTATAATATATATAAATAATACACAGCCAATACAGTGTAGTGATATCAACTCAGCCAGTTTGTTAATTATTTTCCTATTTCAAACGAAGTAAACAGGGACAATGCAAAGAGAAACACTACAAGTAAATTGCTTTCACTTTTAGAAAAGTATTCGAAAGATATTTGCCCTTGACCTAATATTTCTCACTGATTTCCACCGCCTAAATACCAGCACAAGAATTGGCAATGCATGCCTTTTCCTCCACGCTCTCTGTTGCCCAAGCCAAATATTTTTCGCGGCAGAAAAGAGACAAGTGGGGTAGGGTAGATGGATTGATAGTAGGATAGACGGATAAATGATTAATTAGATGGTAAGATAACCTTATGGAGAGGCTAAATTTTTCTCAGGACACGGCGGATTTTCAACATGCAGAAATTGATGCACATAATTTTAGCTAAAGCGGGATGATAAATGGCTTTAAATAAATAAGAAAATAGAAATAAAAACTTAGAAGAAGCAATTATGTACTTAGAGAATTATAGTTTATTATTAACATCATTATCAATTCATAGTCGAACCCTGTAAATTATACTGTATGATAATTTAATAAATAGATAAAAAGTGGAGAATTAAATGTGAATGAAAAGAGAATGAGGAGATGAATTTCTTTTCATTGTATAATATTTATAAGAGGACGAAAGATAGATAAAAGACAACAAGGTTATATTCTTCTGTCTTTCTCTCTCTCTATCATTGAGATGGCTTAAACCTCTTTTATCCTTTAAGAGGCGTTTGGGCAAGTTAAGGACTTTGGAACAGAAACGTTAAACGTATAAAAGTGTCTTAGTTTATTTATCTCATATTACGAAGGACATGTATCTCTATTCCAGTTTTCTTTATTGATTTATCGTTCGTTTCTTTTCTGAAACGACCTTTGGCAAGTTTAAGCACGTAAATTCGTGCGCATTCTCTCTTCCTTTTTGTACGTAAGATGTCTCTAGTTTATATATAGATACAAAGGTGAATTAGAGGCATAAAGCTCTAATAAATTGTACTGGAATGACAAACGAATAGAAAAGTGAATAGACTGATAAATATATAGATAAAGATAGAATGCTAGATAGAGAGATAGCAAGATAGATGGATGAACTATTAAGAGAATAGTAGTTCTTCCTAGATATTTAATTCATTTATTCGTGTTCTTTCTCTTTAAATTAGTTTCATTTAAAAAAGAATAGTTTCAACAATATCATCGCCTTCCCTCCAACTAAGTTAAACAGCTTTTTAAGCCTCTTTGCAACATTCATTGAAACGAACGGAACAACAGCATTGTGCGCTATCCAATACTTTTGAATATTTAAGATGAACATTTCCTTTATCAATAAAACAAAACTATGAACATAGTGGCTTGTGTTTGATTAGTAGAGGTATTCGTATACTCTAACAGTTCCGTCTTGTTCGCCTACATATAAAGAATTCGTAACTTCATTTATATGCACAAGTCGTGGTTCTTTTAATCCGTCTTCTTTATTTAACAGTTCACCCACAATCTCTCCGTCGTACGATAATATTTGAATTCGACCAGCTTGTCTGTCTGCTAATAGAATTCGGCAAGATTTCACATCATTACACATACCGGCCGGAAAGAGTAATCCCTCTTTCACTTTTACGGAAGATAAACTTTTTGCCTTATCTACTCTTACAAATCTTACGCAACTCTCCTCTTTATCCGTTACCGCGATTGTACTACCGGTCACGTGACAGGCGTACCAGTGAAATTTAATTTCTTCGGGTAGCGCCTTTTGAATTTGGGCTGTCCATGTCGGACCGAGAATTGTTGCTAGACCATCGGCACTTTTGTGATGCAAGACCATAAGGCAGTTACCGCAATTAATCAAATTGAACGGATTGGAAGAAGATTCGGTTGACGCTGCTTCAATCGATTTGACAGTCTTATCCTTATCGGTGAGATCTATTACTTGTAAAAAGTTATCGACCCAATCCGTGACGTACAAGGTCTTTCCGACGATGGCGCACCTAGCGGGAATATTACCGTATAGATCCTTTAATTCAACGCCATCTTCACTGAATTTAGCTACAGTTCCTCTATGAGAAGAGATTCTTTTTACAAGTATCAAATTATCCTCATAACTTGACATATCCATTAGCCAATCGCAAGTTACATTAAATATATACTTTAATTTAGGCCTTTTGAATGTTGAAAATATTCTAAGTAAAGGTTTCCTAGTTTCCATAACGGCCTCCAAAAATGAATAATCGAATGGTTGAAAATTACAATTATGACGTAATACACCGGCTTTAAATTGAGAATTATCAGAATTGGAAATGGAGTATTTCAATTTGTTAGTAGCTTCTTTTAAATCTTCCAAGTCCTTCTGTTGATTCACTAATAGAATTCTAGTAAATTTCTTATAAGCGTAATCTATTTCTTCTTTAACCCTTTCATTTTGATCATCTAGACATTTTAACAGCTTCTCTCTCTCTACGTTTTTCCTCTCGTCGTCATCCTCCTTCTCCTTTTCTGTATTAAATTTCAAGTCTCTAAATAAATCTCTAGCGCTGTTTATCAAAAAATTATCAGGAAAAGCTAAAGGTCCTCCGTTTGGCAGTTTGGTTGCAATTCTACATTGGGGACATTCGAAAGTGTCTTTGTAGCCTCTACTCTTGGCTACCTGAACATGCTGATATAGACATTTGGCACAATAAGTGTGCAAACATGGCAAGGCTTTTGGTGAGTTGTACTCATCCAAACAAAGACTGCATTGGAATAGTTGAGCGCTGGCCTGGTCCAGGAAATTAACAGACGACTGATTATCCCTACTACTAGCTTGATCAGTATCCATTTGACTTGTCTTATGAGCTGCAATACAAAAGGCAATTTTTATTAATCGTTCTGTTATATAAAAAAATCTACTCGATTTAGTTTCTATTGATTATTTAGAATTTATATGTGGAGTATTAAGTGGAAGGCGAATATAATATGATAATGTTGGTTTTAGATAATTGAATGACTCGATTTTTGTGATTGCGCATTTTAACCTGTGATTATTCTACAACTCATATCTAAATATACCTTGGTGAACCTCTTTTCTTCTTCGTCGTCCGATTGATTGAACTATTTGAATGGGCCATGGCTGCAATATATGAAAATATACAAAAATATACAAATATCCTTTGAAATATCGGCAAAATTAGTCAATTGCAGCTAGTGGAAATCTAAGAAAAGTACTTACATACGATCTGTATTCCTAAAAAACTGCAGTGCTGCTGCCAAGCAGGGGCCTACAGCAAATCAATAATTCTTTTTACAGAGTGTATAAAGAACAGGCTTGCGGAAGTTTTTCAGTATGTCCATAAATGAAAATATGTATAAACATATATATACTAATATATTCACGTATGTACATGAATATATTGTAGTTGTATTTATATTTGTTTGTAACTTTGCATGGAAATATGGATATATATCTATATATCTATATATACAATGTATACAGTATACTGTGTATATTGTGTGTGCTGTTATAAAATGCGTTGATTACTTCATATAGGAAGCCTCTTGACAGCGTCTATAGATAGACTAACCGTATCTTTCTGGGTAAAGTCATATTAATAATCGGATTTCCCAGAGAAAGAAATTTCACGTATACAACATAATTGTAAAGACGAAGAAGAGGAAATGATGAAAAGAGAAGAGCGGAAAAGTGAAAAGCAAACGAGAAGAGAGATTCTAAAAAACGAGTAATAAGATTAATAAATGAAAAGTGAATTTCTATCAATATTCATAAAATATTTAAAGTAAACACGACCATTTATCTATTCTTCCTTAATTGTACAAAGTTGTACTCAAAATAGTCTTTAATCTACTTAAACATTTAAAGGTATTGAGATATAAAATGTACATCAAAAAGACACTTATCGATTCGCTCATTTCTGATAGGCCGGCTAGTTTATGCTAATTAAAAAATATTAGGGATTGGCATAAAACTTTGAAAATAGATGATTTCCGTTTGAAAATAAAAATGGTTAAAGAAATTTAGGATAAAAATGTTATTGAATAAGGTTAACAATGAAAATATTTAACTAATCCACTAATCTATTCATGGCCGACTAATCTAGAGAATTAGTAATAGTCTGCTTTTGCAGTTGTTTCGTTCAATACTTAATCGAACGTTGGAATTGTAAGCAGTGTCGTGTAGTTGTTTCCCTTAGCTTTTCAGTTGGATACAGTTTAATTGAAGAGAATATGAAGGTGGGAGATGAAATCGATGTTGTTATTAACATTCAATTGACTCGGACTTGAAAAACTAACGATTTTACGAAAAGAAACTGCAGAAACTGCAAAAAAATATGACGACTGTGTCGACATCGTCTCCAACTTTAAAACGTAAGAAAAAAGTCACTTTTCAACCGGATGATGTACTGGTAAATATCTTGGAAATACCACGTGATCAATCTTCTCCTATTCATATTCATTCTCAACAAACTCTAAATTTTAGCCTGCAAAGATTGAGTTTAAATTGGAATAATCCTTTGCAAAGAGTATACGGACCGAGACCTGGAGCCGCCGTTCCAAAATCACCTCAGTTCGAGAGTAGAAGAAGTTTAAGGGCAAATTCTATGCAAAGTCAATTTTCAAGTCAAAAGATCTCAAAGCCTGTTATATCACCGTCAAATTTTAATAGGATCATCTCTCGCCGAACTCAGGAGTCAGCCGAAAGAAGGCGTTTACATAACGCTTGGCAGAAAGAGGACGAAGTCGAAGAGAATATTACCGAATTACAAAAGAGTCCGCTACTATTTCGGCCAAGAACTGCTATAACACCTGGTTCGAGGTCCAACTTACCAAGACTCCATTCTAGCCCTTATAAACATTCCAGTTCTTCTGGTCATCATTCGAACTGGATGGAAAGTTTACCGAGCAAATCGTATAGAATTGACTCCGCTAACTCCATCCGTTCGGTAAGAAGCGATAGCGTTCTAGTTAAACGACCACAGAACTATTTTACCGTTAATTGGAAGTTGTAGAGATTATTCAAGACGAAAAAAGCTACAATAGCAACAAATATCTTTCTTTTAAAAGATTTCAATGGATGTTTGACAGTGTATAGATAATGTATATAAAGAAAGAGAAAGAGAGAGAGAGAGAGTCTGTTTAACTAAGACCAGTGTACAGTTTACTAATGGCTTTTTCAAAGATATCAGTTTAAACAAAACTATACATATTTTAAACAAAAAAACAACAAAAACTACAAGGAGATTTCTTTATTCTTTACATATTTTTTGCCTAAAAGTTTTATTAGATCTACTTTAATTATTAACATATATATTTTCTATGTTGAGTTGGTCCATTAACGGATTTAAAAGCCTGCACGGATTAACAAAGCTTTAAACGTCTGCTTTGAAAGTAAGACAACCAGTTGGTCCTGGATTTAAGATTGTATCGGATTTATAAAATTTCAATTCAATTACTTTAGGCCAAAATTATGTTTTTATTCTTCTTTCTTAAACGTAAACATAGCTGCTGCAGCCTCCGAAAATCTATAAAATAAAAGATAATACTTGTCATTGTTTTCCTAAGGACAAAGTTTACCTTTAGAATTCATTGAAATTATTAAATTATATAGATTTATTTATTAAATATTAATATTTAACAATAGACATAGAGCTCTATATAATCTGCCGTGAAAATTGCCCGAAGCGGAGAAAAGCTTAAGTAAGCATGAGTGAGAAATAGAATTCTTTTCCAAAATGGGAGAAAGAGAGTGCTTATTAAAATTTCCTTTTTCGTTCTTCTACTACATTGTTTATTGGTTGCTTGCTATTTTTTTATTTACTTTCTTTCTTTCCTTCCTCCTTCTCTTCACATCTTCTTTCCCTCTATCTTTGTGTCTTTCCTTTTCGGCCTTTACCTTTCCCTCGAAGAGATTCTTGGTAAAAAGTTCCCCTGATCCGAAAGCGGAGAGTCGAATTGCTGTTGATTAATTGCAATATTTCGACAATTAATACATTGATGGCACAAGGTACAATAGATAGGCGATGCAGTTGGATAAATACTTGTTGCCTCCTGCAATGACATAAAAGAATAATAATTTAAAATTATATTTAGCAAAATTAGCATCAGGATCCAATTAGAAAGGAGAAAGAAGCAAATGGAACCTACTCTCTTCTTTAATTGCATCGCTTTAATTCGTGAGAAAAGGATGTAGACTGAGACGGTTAACGATAAAAAGGCAGTTATTAGAAGAGAGATTTCCAATGCCGTTAAATTTTTCTAAGAACAACAACAGTTTTATCATTTACTAGAAGAGATTTTGGTACAAAAATATAATATAACTTACATCATTCGCCGAAAATATATTGGAGATAAATTGGGTTTGATTTAAAGAAACAACCCTTATCTTTTCGTATATTCTTAAAGATGAATTGAACAAACAATTACAGGTTGCCGGTATAATGAGAAAGATGGATGAGCAGGCTAATACTCCCTAGTTTTTAATGATTTTGTTGAATGGGAAAACAAAGAAACAAAATAGTATCGTTATAATGAAAGAAAAAAAAGTTGTCTGCTATAAATAACAATGATTAATAGTAGAGAAAATATAAAAATAAACTAACCAGTGAATATTTTTTCTCCTTTTCAACCGCCTGACAGTGTGCATACTCGAGAACGATAACGCTGGAAAGGATCTGCTCTTGGAGAATATGAGAAACAAATAGATAGATAGATAGATAGATAGATAGAGAGAGAGAGAGTTAAAGAAAGATTGAATAAAATAATAAATAAATGAAAGTTTACCGCAATTGCAGCCGACAAATTTGTTGATTGATTTGAACAAGTAGAAAGATCAAATACGCAAGATACAGTTGAACAAGCCAAAAATGAAAGCCCAAGGCAGAACTATGGAGGGAGGGAGGGAGGAAGGGAGAGAGAAAGAGAGAGAGAGAGAGAGGAAGAAAGACAGAAATAAAGAAAGAATAATAAAAAAGAAAAAGTCACAATCAAATATTTTGGTTGTGTATTTGTAGGAAATTGAAGAAACTGATTATTGTTTGTACATACCAAGAAAATAACACAAAAATTCATATCAAAGTAGTTTTCTGTACGTTTCCGAAAGAGTTATTGCATAGAAAAAGGTGCGGTTATAAGCGTCTAAGTAGATCAAAGGATTTGCTATATATTTTATGTTGACTATGTAGAACAAGAGTTAAAGACAAACACGAAAGGAAAGCTGCCTCTAAAAAAAAATTAGACTTATTGTTTTTGTTTTAACCTATATGATTATTAGGGAAAAATAACGCCTATTCTCATTCAATTCCATATCATTTACAATCCTATGAGCTAATAGTCCTAATCTTGGTCGACTACTTTTGTTTTCTCATCGATTGTCCCTTAATAAAGTACAATTTATTTCGTAAATAAACATCTAGGTTTCGAGATTCGCTTTAATCTAGTCCTATGTCACTATATCTTCGTTCAATAGAGTAAAACTTCTTTGTTTGAATAGACTCTCCTGCTCTCCTTTACGAAAAGCATTTATTCAGTTAGTTCTATTCACTTGATTAGACTATAGATGGCGTTATTAGGTGTTTGTTTTTCCTCTCTCTGTTTGTCGTTCGTTAAGAAACTAGCTAGACGCATAAAACGAAGAAGAGAGAGGAACAAGAGTAAAATGTGAGATAAAAAAGAAATCGAAAGAGTCGAAAGGGTAATGAGAAGGGAGAAAGGTAAGATAGAAAAAATTTGAGAACAATCTCGAGAAGAGAAATCTAACCGAGAATATTTAGCATAAAGGAATAAAAATATTTATTGTTTACCTAATAAACGACACTGATCCGGTAGAGCCTTGAAAGGGGAAGAAAATGGGAAAAAGTGACAAACCAGCGACCGGGAAGGGAAAAAGAAAAAGGGAGTGATAAAAGGATAGAAGAAAAGTTTATTTCATTACGATTCCCATTAGAAATCACTCGGTTTGTGAGACTTGAAATTTTGCCTGCAACTATAGCTTAGAAGACAGGTTAATTAATTAAAAAACCAACGGCGAAACACCTAAAAGAGAAATAGGATTAGTTTGCCTTGCGGTCTACTTTATCCTATTGTTGAATATGCCATTACAAAAAAGAGACAAATTTCGGGTTATTTATTTGAAATAGAAGTAGATAATTAATCCTAACCAAGTATTCTTTTCCCCCATATCTTATTGGAAATTTGTAACGTGTGTTTGCCTGATGAAGATTCACCTGTTCCCTTTAAAATGACCATCTGTAGAAAATATCTGCAGGGGAATAACGCCATTCTCGATGTACACATGACATACAAGTAGTATAATATAGGAGGGAAAATGGAAAATAAATCCTTTTTAATAAGATAATCAATAAGATTCTTCTCTGTTTTTGTGTGTTTGTTTGTTTCTAAGTTGCTTGAAAGAAAGCTAAAAAAGCTAATTAAGAATACATATATATATATATATATATATAGAAAAGGTATATATAATATATATTATTATGTAGAATATACAGTATGTCATACAAAATGTGTGCTGTTTACGGAGCAGTTGGTTTTAATATATTTATATAAATGATACAGTCATTTAAACATTGATTATAACCTTTTTGTATCAACTTTCCTCTTTATTTTTTTCCTTTGTTCAACGTAGATAAAAGAAATCAATCGTTCATTTTTTTCTTTAAATAGAGCAGTTAATTAATTTAGGTAATTAACGAAAGTTGAATTATGTAGATCAACTCTCCCTTTCTTTCTCTCTATCTCTCTTTCTCATCCCTTTCCACTTACCTCTCTCTCACTCTCTCTCACTCTCTGTGTCTCTCTATCTCTCAGTCAAAGAGAAAGACGTTGGCGAGGAAGAGAAAAAAAAGACTTTAGCCTATTTAGATTTGTCATTAATAAACCAGCGGAGGAGAATAAAAGAGAAAAAAGTTGAAATGAGGGAAGCTGATACGGATCGTATCAAAGGGTAGTGGACTATGTCTTGAAAAAGGAAAGAGAGAAAAGAGAGAAAATGGAAGGAAAAGACAGAGAGAAAGAGAGAGAGAAGGAGGGGAGGAGAAAGAGGAAGAAGAAGCAAAATCAATATAGTATGTATATGTTTAAAATTATTACACGTTTATTCGATTCTATCACACTTTCTTATGTCAGCCAGGTCAATTGAAAAAAAAGGGAAAACAAACTCAAATAGAAGATAAAATGACACTTTTCTTTATTCCTGCTTCCTTTGCCCTCCTTCTTTCTTTATTGTTTTCTTTTTAAAAATAACTTGGCTTTATCTTTCCTTCTTTTCGATCTATTTGTCTGTCTGTCTATTTGCCTCCGTCCCTCCCATTCCCCTCCTTCTCTTTTACACCGCCTCAACTGCACCGTCATCGCTTCTACTGCTCTCTCATTTGTAGTATCATCGTCATTATTGTCATCATTATATGTTGATTTTTCTCTCCTTAAGACTGATTAGAAAATCCTCGGAGATTCTTTTTAGTAGCCGATTAGAACGAGGCCAAAGGTCGTGATTATTTTACGATTTAAGGTAATGAGAGCGAAGAATAATTCTCTCATAGTAAATTAATCTTTTATGAAATTCTTCTAAAAGTAACGAAACTATTACTTTCTTATAATTTTGGTTAATGAATTCTTATCCTAGTTTTTTATATTTTTTACGTGCTTTAGAATGATTTAACTGGAGAGAAAAAACAGAAAACAGGCTTTAAAGCCTAACTGAGCGTTCTTTGTGCCATCTAGTGAGATGTAATTAGCATTAGAGAAAGACGAGGAGAGAGAGCTAGAGAGAGAGAGAAAAAAGTTGGCTATTATTATCTTGTAGTGCGCCATCTACGACTAAATGTTCGTTACATTTTGTAAACAGTAACTCGCAGATCAATTTTTCGATTGGAGCAACCATATTAAAACTCTGAAACAACAGGCTAAAATTAATTAGGAAAGCAGGAGCTTGTTGCCTTAGCAACCTATATCTTCAGCGTGAGCGGCGTATTGGCAAACTAATGAAGTAGCCCAAGTCGATCCTCTTGATAGATTCCTATTAATTGCGAATTCGAATTAATTGCTGCATTATTAAAGCGCTCGAAAAATCTTGAGAATCGACCAGATCGATTGATTGAACACGCACTGTTGTTTTGTTCAAATCCCTTTCTTGTAGTATATATACCGTATATATAAGAAGTATGTATTTTTAGATTTAAATATCTTTTCGCTATTAAATCATCATTTTCTCCTCCTTTTGTTGCTAATTTTTCCCTTTTTTCGATTGAGAATATCAAATACAGACTTAGCGGATTATAATCCTTTAAAACTCTTACTAGCTACAAAAAAACCACCGCCCTTACTAATCTGTAAGGGATTTTGACCAAATCGGTTTCAGTTCAAAATCTCTTCCCTTTACCAATGCCTACGAGAGTTGTTTGTCAAACAATTTCACGTACTCTTGAACATATATGTTCTGAGTACACACACTAAATATGTTTAATAAACTGAATACGTAGCGCAAATAAGACATTGCTTCTCTTTCTCTGCCGCTTCATTTTTACTTTTATCCTCTTTATTTCATTCAATCTTCCATTCCCTCAGCTTCCTCCTCCAGAAGGAAGAGAAACGTCAAGACGTAATAAAATATTTTACAAATCAACTGACGGTTGTAAGGAAGAGAGAGAGAGAGAGAGAGAGAGAGGGAGCTGAAAGAAAAGAGAGCAAAAAAAAGAAGAGAAGCTTTCAAAATGAATGATAATAAATTATTCGTTAATTTTACCAATTACGCGAAATTTAATAAAAGCGCACACGAATTGAAAGGAAACGATTAAACATTTATTTCTTTATCCTTTACTTTCCTTCTCTCTTTTTTTTTAAATAAAGTTTTAATATTGTAGTAGAACTGCATTGGGTTAAAAATAGATTATTGCAGTATATTTATAATAAAATATAACGATGTAAAGGTAATCTTTTGTAATTCTTTACTATATATTTCTTAAGTAAAAGCTTTAAATACGGAAATAAATACGGTGAGCTGCTACTTAAAAGAGAAAAAGTTGGTAAAACATTGATTAAAAATTATTACTTATGCACAGGCTTTATAAGAATTTAAAGATAAACTATAAAAGATATTGCAGTTTGTACTGTCGCCGGCCTCATGTGCTTTTCTTTCATTTATAAATATTATAATATAGGTCTATATAGGTCTATATGTTCTCTTATTAATTTATCTTTTGGCGTAGACATAAACTATATATATATATATATAGTTTATATATAGTAAATACAGTAAATATACTGTATACTGTATATATGAGAGCATATCATTTAATTATAGGCTATAACCTTTAAGCGTATGTTGAAATGTTTGAATGAAAATTATATTATATACAGCCTGTATAAAGTATAAAGTAAAAAAAAACTCTACCCGGATAAAGATGCCTGCTGGTTTCTCATTTTGAGATCATTTTGAATTCTAATCGTGTCGAAACACGTAGAAATGAAATGAAATACGGCCATCATTAAAAATTTACCTAACGCCCCAATATGCAGCCATAAGCAATTCCATCTGTTACCTTGTGAATTTTCTAGTTGACTTTATAGGCACGTTTCTCTTTTTATTAACCTTATGTATGTATATATCTATATATCCATATATCTATGTATACATATGTAGAGAGAGAGAGAGAGAGAGAGAGAGAGATAGATAGATAGATAGATATATACTCTACTCTTTTTAAAAAATTTAAACAAAGAACTAGGTACAAAAAGTCTTAAGTATACGTCGAATCAATAGAATACAGGTTAATTTAACGTGCAGCAATTAAAAGTGGATAACCGGTGTGCCAAATAGAAATAGCAAACTGTTAAAGGCGAAGAAAAAAATTCTTTTCTCTTTTTTTTTCAATTGAACACAAAAAAAAGACATGAATGAATTATAGAAAAAAAAGAATATGTTTGGTAGAGATAGACAGATCGTCAGAAAGAGGGAGAGGCAGAGAGGCAGAGAAAAGTAATGAATGAATGAGAGAGGAAGGGAAAGGGAGGGAAAGGGGTGAATAGAGGAGATGAAGAAGGAAGAGAAAAAGAAATTGAAAAGAAAAACCGTTTTTAAAAAGAAAGAGAAAAGAATTAAAATGAATTAATAATAGAATGAAAAATTTCTCCTTCTTTAAATTAAGAGAATATGAGAAAGATTGAAGAGAGTAGATAAAAAAGAAAAGGGAGAACATTTAAAAAAAAAGACATTTAAATTATTCATGAGATGCAAGCCAACTATTTTTGTTTTTATGGAATTCGGACCGAAATTTACATTAGTCTCTAAATTTCATTATCTGTTTTTCTATTTAATAGAATGTGGGTGTCGAAGCTGTTTATGAAATAATTTTATAGATTTTTGTAAACGAATATAACTTGGCTTTTTTTATCATCTTCTCTCATATTCTCTCTCTCTCTCTTTCTCTCTCTCTCTCTCTCTCTCGTATTTATTATTGACCCATTTATTTGTTATTTATTTATTTATTTATTTATTTAATTTTTCCTATTTTGAATTTCTAGTTAAAGAAGATAAAAATCAAAAGAGAAATAAAACTAAAAGACGAATGAAAAAAGCAGTTCATCAATGAATGCCCTGTTAAATTCAATTAATTCAATTGCAGGATAGTCACGCCAATGGCTTGTAGTGTTTTATAGACGGCTTTAAAATGCAATAATAAAGCCTACTTTTAGCGGAGAAGTCTGATTTTACCCTGATGTTTTCAAGAAAGCTATGCTATTAAAAAATTGATGAGAAATTGATTCAAATAAATAGTTAATCTTTAAAGTAAATAAAAAAAAACATTACAAAAGAATAAGACGGTTACTACATATGCTATATATACCGTATATATATATTATATATTACTTGTGTATATTACTAAAGGAAACGCCTTTTCTTAGGATCAATACAAAATACTTGAATAAGATTATTTAATAGTTTTTAAACTATATAATTTTACAATTGTCACAAAAGAATATAAACTTACGGTAACATAAGCTTTACACCGCCATCCTTTAGCCTAATCACTCGCTTTATCATGCGATTCCCCACTCAAGGGTATCGATGTAAACCGATCCTTTTTACAATTTTTTCATCTCAATTTTTTTCGCTTGATCAAAACTAAAAAAAAAGTGTTTATTCTCTCTGCCTCTTGCCATTTAAAATTAGACTTAAAAAAGAAATTAAAGAGATGAAGAGAGAGAGAGAGAACCGACTGATCTGAAAATAAACTGCATCTATATTTACAAACATGTACTTAAAAAAAGAAATAGTTTTTTACTTTTATCTGTTTGATTCTTTTACTTTTTAATTTTAGATAATAAAAAGTGTGCAACTATTGCAAATTCTGTAATAAACGAGAGCTGAGAAAAGACAGTACTTTAGATGATTTAAATGAATAACAACTAATCCATGTATACATTGGTATATAAATATATATATATATATATACATTTAAATTGAATACACAGTATATATAGAATTACTAGGTTTATGTATTCAATGACACATATGAAAAAAAAGTATACAATACATATTTATTTATATACAGCAAATTGTAGGTATTTTAATACTCGTGTATAAACAGTCTAGGTATTTGTATGCGTAAACAAAAGAAGAAAAACACATAAAGATATATATATATTCATATATCTGTATAAATGTATGTAAGTGTGTATATTTATTTTCTAAAAGGAGATTTGACGTTGTAATTGTGTAAAGTAATATGTTAATATTTTTTACCAATTATCTTCGTCAATAGCCGGAACGCATTATTCCTTGAGAAAAGGTTATTTTACTAATAATGTTATAACGACATTAGCTGTACGAGTGCTAATCTTAATATTATAATAATGCTAAGGTTTATTAAGAGGAAAATCTTTCAACATGCCTGCAGCCACACGTTTAGTTCAGACAATAGGACTATAATAGGCCCAAAACAGACTTTGATTAGGATCAGTATTTTTAAGAGACTCTAAGCTCCTAGTCTATAAGGCATTTGAGAAGATTTTGGAATAGTAAACGCAAATTAACTAATATTGAATAGTATTAATCCATTCAAAACGAAAAAAACTCGTAAGACATCTCTTCGTCTTTCTTTCTTAGTTTGTCCCTCATTATAGGTTACGCTCCTACTATTAAAGGATTTTAGTCAAAAAGATAAAGGTGCACGAAAGATGTGCTCAGTATATACACTATTGTTCAACTTCCGACTTGTCGTTTAATTAGCGCTAATTTGGCGTGTGTTTTTTGATGAGGAGATGAATAAAGCATGAAAAAAGTGGCAAAGACTGATAGAAGGCGGAAGAGTTGCCAGGTGAGGAAAGAGAAGGTAGAAGAGAATTGAAGGATGACGAAAAGATTGATTTGACTATTATTGTTATTGTTCGCCTAAAACAAGATAAAAGTTATCCTTACTTTTGGCTTTCCTGTATCTGTCCTCTTTTCGTTCCCCCTTTCATTTATTCTTTCCCTGACTGTCTCTGTCTGTCTGTCTGTCTGTCTGTCTCTCTCTCTCTCTCTCTCTCTCTCTCTATATATATATATATATATATATGTCTCTCTCTCTACCTGGCAGGTAATTGAAAATTTGATTTAAGAAAAAGAAATTTGCTTATTGGCTTGGAAAATAAAAAAGTGATAATTTTGACGAGTCAATTAGCAAAATTGCGTATCCATTAAATAGATCAAATGAAGAGATTAAATAAAAAAATAAATACCTTTTATTTAATCAAATACCCAAAGTGGAGAAAAAGAGAGAGAATGATAAAATGACTGTCGATTTATACTGTATAAGGAAACATATAGCGGCTCTTTTTCTCTCAATCTCTCACATCTATAATAGTATTCAAGGTGTTTATATATAGGCTAAAATTTGAACGAGTTATTATCTATTGTGTATATTAATATTAAGTATATTCCTGATTGATGAATGTGCCGTCTCCGTCTCCCATTCTACCGCTATTCTTCCGTTTGATAACTAAGTTAAGTTAGAATATGTACCAAGATAATTTAAAGCTAATCCATTTTGGGTGTGGCTTGTAAATGTTTCTTTACTAAAGAGAAAAGGAGTAAAGTAACCTGCTTCATCTATTTATCTTTAAAATAGCACTTGTCAGACAATCTATTGCGCTTAGATGAACTTTTCAAGATGATTAGCTAACCGGATGACGACAATGACGTTAACTAAATAAAAGACTTGATTTTATTCAATCCCTTTTCTTATGGATTAGAATTGAAAGAAATTTTTTTCTTTCACACGAACCCCAATTTTTTGTATCTATTTATAAAATTCAGCGCTACTCCTCTATTCCTCTCCTACGTTCTCTCCCTCTCACCTCTCTCCCTCTTTCTCTCTATATTTACCCGTTAATTTCATCATAATATTCACAGTTTGTTATTCGTCTATCAATTCATATTATTTTCCCCAATTTAACGATACAACACCCAACCGCACAGCTTTTGTCCAATCAAAGGCTTCTTATTCCGTGACGTCACTTTTCGAATAAAACGGCGCCACCGTGGGAGAACAGGTAAAAAAATCGGCAGACAGTCATATCCGAGCCAGCGAAACACATGCTTGCAAAGTGAAATGGCTTTGAATACGGAAAATTCGATAGCTCTTTCTCAAAGTATGGATTCGGTTAATACGAATCCCGACGAAGAAGTAAGTCTACGTTAATTCTTTTATATTTTCATTTTTGTTTTAGGTGTGATGTTTGAGTATAATATTCTATTTCTCCGTAATTTGTATAACAATGATTTTGAACGTGTAATTACGGTGTACGTGTATGAATATATGTATGTATGTGCGTGCTTGTACGTGTGTGTGTGTGTGTGTTGTGGAGTGAACGAATGATTGAATAATAAAACTATACATTCGAAGAGATAGGAAGAGAATACAAAAAGGAAACAGAAAAAAGAAATCATATATATATATATATTAATTTACCTTTATTGTTAAGTTTCAATTTGAATTGAACACAAAAAAAGAATCCTATATTTTTGAACAATGTATACAAATCCTATCAAAATATATTCTCTGCATATATTTTTATTATTTATTTTTATTTATTTATGAATATTCACAAATTTTTTATATACAACAATATAACCTTATTTAAATATATAAGGCTTTAGACATATATATTATATAGATATATATGTGTGCGTCTGTGTATACATGTGTTTATTCATAAATAGAAGAAACGTATAAAAAGAATTTTTAATAGACGTGTATATAAGCATATAGAATGATTGTTTGGACCCTCGACTAAGAATTCTAAAGGATAAAGACAAGATGTCTATGATTGTCTGAATAGCTTAATGCGTAGGCACATTAATATATTAATATATAAAAAAAAAATATAAGTAGAGGGAAATAAGAGAAAAGAAATATGTTCCATACGAAGTATATATATTTCTTTTCAAATATATAATCATTGGTATATGTCAATAGTATAGAGTATAAGAATTGCTAGATACACCAAAGCATATATATTTGTATTCTGAGTAGACATATATACAGTTTTATACAGTTATTAATATGAATACAGTGTATACAGACATATATATATATATATATCATACTGCATTTATTCATACATATGCTGCTTTGTCAAAGAGAATGAGAAAAAGAGAGAACGGGAGAGTGAAATAGATAGATAGATAGATAGATAGAGCGAGCGAGCGAGAGAGAGAGAGAGAGAGAGAGAGAGAGAGAGAGAGAGAGAGAGAGAGAGAGAGAGGGAGAGAGAGATATTATCAAATGTGTTTAATCAGATCCCTTTTGTTATAAACTTGTATACGTGTATAAATGTTTTGAAATGCTGACGAGTAAATATAAATTTATTAACTAATCATAAGAAATGTATAAATTTATTAAAAGAATTTATTAGTAGATTAAGTATATGAAATTATCTTTTACCAAATGTCATTACGGTGTTTAGAGAGCTTTGTGGAAATTCCTGAAAAGGTAAAGTTACTCACATAAAGCAATAATGGATAAACGTTTTTCTTTTTCAAAAATGTACAAAATGATGTACAGTGTGCACCGGCAATATAAAAATCACGTGTTTATAACGAGGCGGCGCAGGTGGCGGCGGTCGGTCGATACACGGTGCACAAAAGTAGCTTGGTAACCACAGTCTACACGTACTTAAATTTTAATTATCCTCTTTCTATCTATCTTCTTTCTCTCTGAACAAACTAACAACGTTTTTAAACGGACACAACACCATTTAGAAGCATTGACTTCTTTTCCTTCAATTCTCTTTTATAATTCACATAATCCAACTGGTGGAAAGCTCACAATTTTTACTCAGGGAACAGAGAAACAAAGCAAAATCGTGACGGCGAGTCTAATGATTGTAATAGAGAGCAGACCGACTGTTACGTCAATAATTAACGCTAGGTTAACGCAAAGAAGTCTGAACAATGAAATATATATATATATATACATGCTGTACATGTATATACATATAGAAATATATATATATAGTATATATATACAGTATATATATACTTCTTCTATTTTCTCATATTATAAACATATACTGTACATATTATTTCACTAGATTGTTCAAAATTCAATTGAATAAATGACACTACAAGATTTATGCTCTTAATCCTTTATATTACCAACTAATTTGTTCATATTTTCTCATATTCCCCCGCCCACATCCCTCTTCCCTCGACTTAAACGCAAATATTCTGCTTAAACGGTCGAAGGATACCAAATGGATTTTAAGACATCTCGATTACTTTTATAATGGAAATATAGCTTTAATCTTCTCATCTTTGAAAGTTTGCATGGCAGAACGCGCAGACGTTGAAAGAGACGCCTTATAGTAGCCTATATAAAAGCATTTTAAAACCATCGCTTAATATGGCTTCATAATTGTATCTATTGTGTTTCTATTGTGGAAATTTGATTGATTAGAAAAAGAAAACAGATCTGAGTTATTAAAGGATTACTATTCAAGCGGACTATTTCTGGTGAAAAAAAAGAACTCGGATTTTTTAAATGAGAGAATGAAGATTTATTATAATTCAGCTTTAAGGTTTGGTTGAATGTGCTCAAACAAATTCAACAGTTGAGAAAAGGGCCGATATGAGTAAGTGAGTGTGTGGGGGGGGGAAGGGAAGATTGCGTTGCAGGGGAGGGTGGGGGTTAAAGAGCCGAGGAAAACTAAGGATAAGACATGGCAAACAAAAGGGAAGGGAAGAAAGAAGAATAACGGGGGAGAGGGGGAGAGAGAGAGAGCGAGGAGAGGTCAGGGATTGAGGACAAAACGAAAAGAGTAGTGAAGCTTAGAGAAGATAGATGAACAAGTAAATATCATCGACTAAGCTTATCAACTGATTTATTCATAACTAATGGACAGTTAATAAAGAACAAACGACAAATAGATAATTAAAGATAAAAATTGAAAGTAAAAGAGTAAAGAGTGCTGATTAATAATTAGAGGTATGAGCACAATTCGTTACCAAGGCAACAGTGTCTTGGTGCCTGTTTCCTTCAAGAAAATGAAGCCAATTGAGAAGGAGGATACGTTTATGAAAAAGGCCAAGCAATGAAAATGGCGGTTAAGGGTGTAAAGGGTCGTTCGATTGAGCGACAATAGAATAATACAAAAAACGAGGGCGTATTATTAAGCGTTAATAGACTGCTACGGCTAAACGCAGTTTGAAAATATTCAATACACCAGAATGTTTGCTCGGCATTCAGTCGTCTGTTCACAACGCTTGAACAGTATCTATTTAGGTGTTAAGTCGCTCGTTGGAATATCCAGTGTTTGGCCTATTTTAACCGAGAATTCCGTGTAATTTTTACATATAAAGACTATCAGTTTGTGGCTTAAACATATATTTAGACAAAGTAAATATTTGAAGCTCAACAAATTTAACAAGAAAGTGTAAACATTTGATGTAAGAGTTTTTTGACTGTTATTATTCGTGGTTAGATAAGCTGAGGTACTACTAAAAGGAGAAACCAAGAACACTCTGAATTAACTCGAACGTTGCAAAAAAAATCCCTTTTAAACACATAATTTCAAATACGGCTTTCACTTTTACTGTGAGAAACTTGTCTAACAAGGAATTCCATAATACATAGACGTTACAAATGATGATGACGGGGGGGGGGTTCTTTTGTGCAATACTGTTTGAATAGCGCTTATTAATTTTACAGTTTTATTCTGCCGTTTCAATTCAATTCTCTTATTCTTTAAGTTGAATAATTCAATCAAATTGGATGATATATATATATAGCCTATCTTTGTGTATTTAGCGAAATATACGTGTTTGCTAGCATTTGTTGGCCCCGGTTTAACATCAATATAGGCGTTGTAATAGTCACCTGAGCGAGTGCTACAAAGGTTGATGTACTCTACAAGAGAGATATAGAGATAGAAAGAGAGAGAAAGAGAGAGAGAGAAAGGGTGGAGGCAGTCAATAATTTTTTTATTCTACCTATGTATCAAGCTTAATTTCATTTTTTATCATAAATTATACAGACAGCACGTGTTTTAGTAATTAGTTGATTTTATTCAATGATATTCGATAAGGTAGAGAACAACAGATGCTACTTAAAAAACATTTCTAGTTTTTTTATCCGTCAAACAAATTTTCAATTGATGGACAATCGAAGAAAAATGATAGAGAGAGAGAATTAGAAGATGGAAGGTTTTCTTTGCTTTCGAATAAATTATAGGAATAGAAAAAAGGGTGGAGTAGAAAATTGATAGTGATAATGGTGATAATGACGATGATAATGAAATTGAGGAAAAGGATAAGGGCGCGGTGGCGGGAAAGAGGATCGTTACAAATGAAAAGAGAAGAAAGAAAGATAGTAATACAAGGGGATGATGCTAAGGATAAGGTGAAAGTGAAAGCGAAAGAAAGAGAATATAAAATAGATAAAAAGAAAAGAATAAGGAGAAAGGAAAAACGAATAAAAAGCCAAAATCTACCGCAACGTATATAAGGATCACGTAAGATTATCGAATTTTCACCAGTCGAATTTCTACAATCAAATTAAGCACGTCTAGATCACGTCAAATTATCGAATTTTTCACGATCGAGTCGACCGCCTCAATATTCTTACAAGCCGAATTAAGTTGATCAGGATTACAGGTCTATAGAGACCGATTAACTGGTTTTAATCCTTCGTTTATTCCATTACCTTGTGCCGTGCAGTTGAGCTCGAAAAAAATCGATCTTACAAATTTTAATCGAGTTTTTGCACCGGTTCGTGTTGTGAAAGAAAAAAGCGCACCAGGTGTTCCACTTGACAAACTCGTTGTACTTTCGTTGACAAACGATTGAATTGAATTCCAAACTGATCTCCCTACCCTTTCCTCTTCGGTGCCTGGTAGTCAGCAGGCCAATTTCATTTCCACCCACTTTTCCCCATCCACCCCCAAAACAATCATTTCTGGGGCAGTTAGTGCCATAAACTGTCCTCTTGTTATGGAATTTTTCTAACTAGTAATTGGAAGATATCTTCCCAAGTATGACCTCCAATTTGTCAGCAAGGATGATACATAACTGCGACCGATAGTGATATTTCTCTCTCAATCCTAAATTCTTCATTCTCATTTATTTTGACCTTTGTATAACATACTCTCATTAAGGTAGCGCTTTTCGTTTGATCATTCACTTCAT